ATGATTTGAGTTTGAGACCCTTGATCTAATGAATACTTTGGATTTTACCATTTTAATATAAAAGTAATTTAAATTGCTTTACCATTTTTTTTAAAAATCAGTACGGTAGGAGAAAATTTGGCAAAAATGGGGGGGGAGGAGGGGAAATTAATGCCAAATATTATTTTTTTAAACAGGGTCTCAAAAAAATGTGGTTCTAAAAGATCGCTTAATTTGTTTTTAAAGATCGTTCAGTTGGTTGTTATTGATCGCTTAGTTTGTTGTTAAAGATCGTTTAGTTTGTTGTTAAAGATCTTTAGTTTGTTGTTAAAGATCGTTTAGTTTGTTGTTAGAGAGCGTTTTGTTTGTTGTTAAAGATCTTTAGTTTGTTCTTAAAGATCGCTTAGTTTGTTCTTAAAGATCGTTTAGTTTGTTTTTAAAGATCGTTTAGTTTGTTTTTAAAGATCGTTTAGTTTGTTGTTGAATATCTTTTCGTTTGTTCATAAAGATCGATTAGTTTGTTCTCAAAGATCTTTTAGTTTGTTCCTATAGAACATTTAGTTTTCTGTTAAAGATCACTTAGTTTATTCTTATAAATCATTTAGTTTACTATTAAAGAGTATTTGTTTTGTTCTTAAATATCATTTAGTTCGCTCTTAAAAATCGATTAGTTTGTTCTATTAGATCGTTTATTTTGTTATTAAAGATCGCTTAGATTTTTCTTAAAGATCGCTTAGTTTGTTTTAAAGATCGTTTAGTTTGTTCTTAGATGTCCCTTAGTTTGTTGTCAAATATCGTTTAGTTTGTTCTCAAAGATCGCTTAATTTGTTCTTAAATGTCTCTTAGTTTGTTGTTAAATATCACTTTCACTGAGTATTAAAATGACCGAAAACCTGAGTCACATTCGGCGGGATGGCCAAAAGTCTAAGTCAATTTCGGCCGAAACCGAAGAAAACCCAAAGTTAACTTTTCTCTTTCGGCCGAAACCGAAATTAAGCAGAAAGTTAACTTTTCAGTTTCGGCCGAAACCGAAACTTGGCCGAAAGTGATAAAATGGCCACTTTCGGCGCCGAAACCGAAGCCGAAATTCGGTCGGTCTCTACTTTTTACACATGGCACCAAAATGCAGTACACTTTGTTGTCCTAGGCAGTCAGATTTCAAAAGCACTAACTCGATTTGTCACATGGTTCTCTTTTTATCTCAGGCTTCGGGTAACAAAATTACTAAATTACTCTGATAATTATTTGGTGTGTGCATTTAATATACGCAGTGACTTAAAATAGAAAAGAAGACTCAAGATTATTATTGGGGGGGGGGGGGGGGTGAAGAACCCTCTTGTTAGAGGGGATAATAAAAGTGTTTTGATCAAATTTAAAAAATATTTTTATTATGGCCATGTTATTGACCAGGAAAAGGGAGGGGCGGTCTCTGCCCTTTGTGGCACTTTTTCTTTATATTTATATTGATGGGGGGTATGTTCTGCCCACTGCAGAGTTTTTTACCCACCCCAGGAAGCCTTAGCTACACCACTGAGGGATCATATCAAATTTTGTTAAATGATGAGCCATTTGAATTCTACGTTTTTATTGAATTAATTAATATTGTAATACTTTTAATAAACATTATACAGGTACATGGGTTCAATGCTGTAATAAAATGTGCAACAAGTGGAGGTATGTACAAGAAATTGAAGATCCTCTACTTGTACCAGAGGATTGGGAGTGTAAAATGAACTCAGGTAGAAATCATTGCAATCATTAAGGATTAAGAACCATCCATATAGTACATATGCACTGTTGGGGAGAATTTGCATACATGTGCATTATGCGACGGTGGGGGGGGGGGGTGTCTTGGCAAAAAGTATGAACATTTATTAAAAAATTCTGCAATAATTATCCTGAAATTCTGACAGTCCATAAACAGCCTATTTTTTATCTCTAATGCTATAATTATATTCACTGTTGGGGAGAATTTGCATACATGTGCATTATGCGACGGTGGGGGGGGGGGTGTCTTGGCAAAAAGTATGAACATTTATTAAAAAATTCTGCAATAATTATCCTGAAATTCTGACAGTCCATAAACAGCCTATTTTTTATCTCTAATGCTATAATTATATCACACAATGTTATGTAAATATCATCATACTGTTGCTTTGTATTTTCACAAGTGAATTGTTAGAAATTGCACTGGTAATTAATATTTAATTTTCTGTGCATGTAATTATTTTTTCAGCTCTGCCAGTGGTTCCTATTCTTTAAAAAAAAATTCCCTTTAGTGAAATTAGGTTTTCCCCAGGCGCCCTTTTTCAAATTCTAACTCTTCAAAATGAATGTCAAAAATATTTTTTCTTTAATAAAAGGGTTGGTAAAAATAAATAGAACTTGTATGTAAGTCATTTAGTGCCATCAATTAAAAATTTGTAGGAACTTCTGCAAACAGTAATTACTCATGTGAGTTGCTGGTTTGCACATCGTCAGCTGTCGTGTGCTGTCACATTGGATTGAAAGTAGAAATAAAATTCTGAAAATTGTGTAATATTTTGTGGCCACCCTGTGATGAAGCCCCAGTTCCCCATGGTGACTCAGCACATAATTTGGGAGCCACAGGGCAAAACAGACCGCTGAGAAACCTTTGAAACATTTTTTACTGTATCTGGAAATTTGATCGAAAGAAATTGATCAACGGAAATTTGATTGAACAGAACTTGGGCCGAATCTTTTTTTCAGTTGTTTTGGGTCAAATTTTCTTTTGAACACATTATTTTGTTTTACTATATAGTATAGTGCGTTCAAAAAGAAATTTGAAGAAAAAAATATTCTATCAAATTTCTGTTCGATCAAATTTTCATCTAGATCTATTAATTTTCCATTGACGAAATTTATTTCGATCCAATTTCCGGTAACCATTTTTAACAGTGACATCATAATTGTCTATGAATAAATTGATATGATATTTTTTGAGATTTGAGGGTGGAAAGCTCATGTATGTAAGCAGGGAGGTGTGTGTGCACAATAATATACATGCTTCAGGGGGTTGAAATGTGACTTTATTGCGTAGGTGCTTATGGATAGCCCCTTAGCTTAATAATCATTTGTTAATTTACATGGTTTAATTTATATATAAAAGATAAAAAATGAATGACTGCATTCAAGCTGTGTGAAGGAAATAGTGGAAGCTTGAAATATAAAGACGGGACAATAAAAAGAGAAAGTTTTGGCTAAAACAATGGGGAAATCATTAATACAAAGGTCAACTTATCAAATTTTAATAATATTGTTGTATTTAAAATTATATTCATTTTAGACAAAGATCATAATTCATGTGACTTACCTGAAGTAAACTATGATGAAAGTGAGCATATCCTTACTAAGTTCACTGTTGGATCTATTGTTTGGGCAAAAATGGATGGTTATCCATGGTAAGCCAACAATTTAACTGATAATAAAAGAGTTCTAATTAATCCAATTACATAATCTATTAATTGTATGTGTGTGATTGTTTGACTCTTTTAATACAGGATTACTTAAAATAAGTTTTTAATTTTTTAACATCTTTCCATAAAATATCAGTCATAAATACTACTAGTATTACTAAAGCCTATCAGTATACTTTGAATATGTGTCACAGCATCAGTTGCTTGGTTTTGTTTTAAAAATTTGTTTAGTGGACACTACATCACTTAAAAATCTTCATAAAAGAATGTTGTTTTTCTGTCAGTACCAAATATTTTTTTAAATTTCACAAATCAGAACTGCATGTGTTTATGTGATGGAATAAAAATAACATATGTCAATATGCATAATAAAATTAATTGCCTAGTCCTAAAATATTCCAATACCTTAAAAAGAATTTTGTTCCATAATATGTAGGTGGCCAGGCATGATTGAGATTGATCCAGATTATGGTATTTATTTTGAAGTTCCAACAGAAACTAGCATGGTCCCTGTAGGTTTTAGATGTTATTTTTTAAACTCTTATATTTCATTTTCTCCCATTTTCTCAATTTAAATTTTATGTTAATGTTCTATTTGATTTTCTTGAAACAATGATACATAGATAAAAATAAAGACATAGAAAAAGTAATTCAAAGATAAACTAAAGACACAGAAAAAGTTAAAGGCAAATTATGCAAAAAGAGCATATTTTTTCTCTGCTTACTTGAAGCCCTAGTTGTTCATTCTCATATATCTTTCTATTTTTAGTGAAAAATATAAACATAAAATAAATATATTTCATGTAAATAAAGTTGAAATTGTTTTGACTCTGACTATTAAGGGTTAGAGATTTGGTTTAATCAGAAGCTGCAAAGAGGACACACTGTTTGGTACTCTTTATGTGCATGCACTTCAATTGCAAGAGAAACCATGATAAAATAACAAACAAAAAACTAACCATAGCAACAAAAAGTAAAACAGTATCATAGCAACAAAAAGTAAACAGTAAAGATAATAAAAATTAAACTTAGCTCATAAGCAGTTGGTGCTATTTGGAGAGTTGTGTTTTCATTTCCTAATTACCCATATGTGCTTTATATTTAATTTCTTTATTCACTTTCCAGAATATTATAGTAAAATCATGATTCTATGCTATTTCAGAATTGTGAGGATTAAAATTATTTGAAAATAAAAATAGTTAAATTTTAAACCCAGAATAAACTTTATTTAGAGTATATGTTGTGCTATATCATTTGACAGACTCAGTACAATGTAACTTTCTTTGGTGATAATGTGACACGAGCATGGATGAAATCTTCTTTAATTGCTCCTTATGGGAGTGGACACCCTAAGTCAAAAGTAAGTTAGAAATTTTTTTATTTTGTACATATTATGCAGTTACTCTTGCTGTTTGTAAATAAAAACAATTGTGAAAAGCCCTTTTTTTCTTCAGTTTCCAGTTAAGCATCAGACTTATAAAAGAGAACTTCAAGCTGCAAAGAAAATAGCTGACAGTGCTTTGGAATTTAAGTTACAGGTACTGTTGGTAGAACTATGTAGGGGTTATATAAACATAAAAAATATATATGCTTTTTAATAAGTGGAACAAGATATGCATGAAAAAGAAAAAGGTCAATTTTTTTTAAAGCCCAAAGATATATTGTTGCACCATTTATGTACCATCCACAGCTTGATAGCAGTTCCTCATATCTTATTCTTTGTAGTGACAATTATATTAATACAATTTATAATTTGTTACAAGATAATATGCTTTTATCCTGTTTGACTGCAAGACCTTAATTTTATTTCAGGACCGTTTAAAGAAATTTGGATTTGCACAGAACCACACAAAAAGAACCAGACATAATAAAATTGGTAAACTGTTTATATACCCTAAACATATGCATTCTATTTGGTTAAGAAATCAAATGAACGTAAACTTCAACCACTGAATGACTTATTGTTTGATGTTATTTTTTTATTGCAACATTAACAATGTGTGTGCAATATTAATTTTCAGAATCTAAGCAAGATAAAATGATTAAGCCTGCAAATAAAAAACAAAAGAAAGTACTGAAGGCAACAAACATATTAAAAAGTGATTCTGCCAAAACTGCAATGGAAAAACTTAATAACTCTGATGTGTTTAGTGATGACTCATTGGAAAGTAAGTTTAATCTCTTCTTATTGTAATTTTTTTTTATTTGTCATATATGGCAATCAGTGTCACAATTTTTGGGTTAAGTTTTACCATTTAAATAGTTAATTAAAAGATTAGGCACATGTGGTCTGTCCTGTGATTTTGATTAAAATGATAACTTGAATTTCTCTTTTTCCCCACCCACAAGACATATTCTCCATACTTCTTGGGTACAATTAGCCCTACACCTGTAAATGAAGTTTATGCCATAACCATTTAATTAAGTTTAAAAAACTGTTACTATATAGAAAATTTTTAAAAATATTTCATAAAATTAAAAGATACACTCTTTCCCATGTAAAGTTCTTGATTTTTAAAGTTGATTGAATCATTAAACAGAAATGTATACTGAAATTCTCAAAATGATGAACAAAACATGACAATGTATCTATATTTTTGTTCCATATTCTTTATAGACCTATGCTTCAATTAATTTTACTGAAATTTTTAATTTTACTGAAATTTTTAATTTTTTGCTCAGATGTGGAATACTTACCAATAAAAACAAAGTCTCGAAGTGATTCAAATGATCACAAGTTAATTTTATTTGACAAAAGTAAGTATAAAACTAACCATAATTAATTTGGATAACAGAATTTTATCAGGCATTTGCTTCCAGGGTACCTCTTTTAGTTATGAATTTCTATGACCTAAATAAAAATAAATGTAGTGATTTTATTACCCATAAAGTTGCACTTAGGGTTATTGACTAAGTTTTATTCAAAAGTTACATCACTGAGCATTGTAATCTCTAAATTATATCATGGCCTACTATTGCAGCTGCAGATGCCCTGAATGTGCTAGGTAAAGGTAATAACTCTGATGCAACAACCACTACAAATACCAACTCTCTATCTGTAGCAATAAAGAGAGACATAAGCAAGATCAACTTTGACTCTGGTAAACTTTTGGAGGGAGAAAAAGCAAGCAATGATGAGGCAAGCTCACCCCTAGAGACAAATAAATTAAATAAAAATAAATATAACAGCTCAGAAGAGAGCATTAGTTGTGATGAAAGTAATGCTTTTGGAAGTGATAATGTAAAAAATGCTGCTAGTATCCAAGAAAAAAATAAGTGTATCACAGAAGAGTCTCAAGATGAAATAGAAAAAAAAATTATAAACGATTGTGATATTAAATGCAAAAATAATTCAGATGATGAGGATACTCTTATCTTGGATGATTCTGAAAATGAGAAAGGGAAAAAGAAACAGAAATTGCCATGGAAGCTTACTTCTCGAAAAGCAGATAAAACTCTGCAAAAGTTGAACCAAAATAAAGTTGAAGATGCAAAGCAGCAAGAAATGGATTGCTATGGAAATCATAAAAGTGCTGAAAAAAAATTTGACTTTCAAAAAGAAACAAAAAAGTCAAAAAAGGGAAGAGAAAATAAAAAAGCAATGAAGACAAGTTTGTCGGTTCAGAGAAATTTAATTGATGGTACCATTACTTGCCAAGAGTTTACAAATAATATTCATTCTGATAAGTTACTGGAAAAGGTACAAGACCATAATAAACATGTTGATGACATGAAAAATGAAAACGATGCAACGACCCAATCAAATTCAGCCAAACGTGTTTCTGAAGATTCATTTGTAAAAGAAAAAACTTATGCCAAAATGAAAATTCAGAAAAAGAGGAAAGAAAAGGATCAAAAGGAAAGTGAATTAACTCCTGATACAACTCGTGACATAGGTGAAGAGATGGGAGGGACAGGCAACAAAGTACAAGTATTGAAGTCACATAAAAGTTTATCAGTGAAAACAAAGGTTTTTGCTGAAAAGAAAAATGAAGACTACATTGTTCAATGCCAAGATTTAAAAAATAACACTGGCAGTGACAGAAAAATAAAGCAACGAAAAAGAAAAGTATCAATCTCAAAAGAGAATGACTTTACGTTGCAAAGTGAAGAAAATGAGTTTTCATCATCTGATTCTAAGACATTGAAGAAAAAGAAAGGTTGTAAAGAAAAGGGGAAGGATATCATCAACAATAACAATTGTGACAATTTGAAAATACCTTGCAATGAAACTGAAATGTCTGATCATGTCTCACCAGAGAACAGTGCACACCAAACTAAGAATGTCCAAAATAGGTTTGAAGATGTTTTAAAGATGGAAGTTAAATCTGACAAACAGAATAAAGCCCCATCCCGAAAAAGGAAAAGTACTACAGCTAAAGATTTAGATAACTGCCCATTACAAAAGCAGAGTAATGAAGAGTCTAGTAAAATGGAATCAAAGAAAAGAAAGGACAAATCTTGTTATACCACTAATGAACAGCTGAAAAAAGGTATAGAATTAGAAGTCAAAGATCTTAAATATGATTCAGACAAAGAAAACGTGGACCCTAATGCAAAGAGAGAGGATAAAAAAGCAACACTGCTCACTAAAGATGGTACAGGTAAAGAGGACTGTGATGCTAATGATAAAAATGGTGAAAAAGAAAAGAAAAGAGAAAAAACAAAAGAAAGGAAACACCTGAGCTTAAAAAATAAGAAAAGCAGAGCAATCCATGATGAAAAACCTGAAAATTGCATAAAAGAAAGAAGAGATGCATTAGCTGAAAAGGACACATATTTACAAAATACAGACCAAACAGAGAGAACGAGTAAACAGGTTATTTCCTTGAAAAATAGTGATGCCAAGTTACAGGAAAATGATAAACAAATCAGGGAGACATGTGATTCTGAGTCTAATAAAAAGCCAATATCAATAGATGAAAAGTTAAGTGATACAGGCAAGAAGAAAAAAAAGCAGAAAACTGTTGGATTTTCTGCTCCAATATTGAAGGAAAAGAAATCATCACTTACAAAAACTCACATTAATGCAGCAATGTCCAAGGACTTGAAAGTATTTCAGAGTGTTTCAGAATTGCCAGACCGACAAGTTCCAGTTGGTTCTCAAGACAAAACAGTGACTGGTGTCAGTGTCAAGAGAGCAGATTATGAACAAGATCAGCATGTTGTACCTGATCTATACAAAAAAATGACAGTTGATGATGAAGATGAGATTATATTAAATAATAAAAAAATTGAGTGTAAAAGTAGTTTGATTTCCTTAAAAGGAGATGTGGAACATAACTCTGAGAAAGATGAACTTGATCTAAATTTCAATCCCTATCTAGTTGATAAGACTATGCCTGAAAAAATTCTAAATGATGAAAATAACAGTGATGATGATAGCCAGGAGTTTACTTTGTACTTGGATGATGAAGAGGAAGGGACAAAAGTAGTTGTAGAATCTGTAAGAGATTTCGGTAGGTTTGGTGGCAGGTGTTATGAACATGGATCTGACTCAGATCCTCTGGAATTGATAGAAGAATAAGGCTTAAGAAATTGGTAAATTTTATTCTTTAGTTAATTCTTCTTTTGTAAATCTTTGTAATAGGTGATAAATTTGCATTTAATTAAATTTATTTTGCTTTCCTTGTTATTTATGACCTAGGAAGATTGATTAAGTTAATGATTAAGATTATTACATTTTTTATATAAAGCTTTGATAAATCAAATGATTGGAAAACATGAATTAAAATGACTGGTACTAGTTACTTTGACATTATAAAATTTGCTAACATTAATTTTGTACAAATTTAAAAAATAAACATCTTTTTTCCCTGAAAGATTTTCCTAGATTCATTTACTTTAATTAGATGAAGAACATTTCATTAAATGATAATCCCTTGCTTAAAACTGATTTTAAGACAAATTTAGTTTTAGTCAATAAATATAATTTTACACACTTCTGTTAGAAAATGCATTTTAAATCATAATATGACAAGTTATCCATGATGAAAAACCTGAAAATTGCCTAAAAAGAAAGAAAAGATGCATTATCTGTCAATTATGTAGCTTGCTGTTAAAATAAAGTATGTTATTTTTAGATAATCTGGTTTAATAGTAGTTTTTTTTTTTTTTTTCAATTTTCAAAAAGTTGGAGTTATCAAATCTTTTTATGGAAACATTGCTTTTATTGAATAAAAACAAAAACTATTTAGCATCTTTTTTAATTATTTTTACTGTCAAATATTTATTGTGTATAATTTTTATTAAAAAAAAAAATTATAATTTTTTTTTTTTTTTTCAATTTTCAAAAAGTTGGAGTTATCAAATCTTTTTATGGAAACATTGCTTTTATTGAATAAAAACAAAAACTATTTAGCATCTTTTTTAATTATTTGTACTGTCAAATATTTATTGTTTTTTTTCAATTTTCAAAAAGTTGGAGTTATCAAATCTTTTTATGGAAACATTGCTTTTATTGAATAAAAACAAAAACTATTTAGCATCTTTTTTAATTATTTGTACTGTCAAATATTTATTGTGTATAATTATTATTAAAAAAAAAAATTATAATTTTTTTTTTAAACAAGCAGCAAATATTGTTTTACATTAACAAATAAAACAAATTTACTATATACAGGGCAATAATTATGAGTGGGATGGGAAGAGTTGATCACAAGATGCACAAAATACTTCATACATTTTCAAGTTGCTTCTGAAGCAAAGACAGTAACATTGAACAATCCAGAAAACATGAACATCTCAAAATTAAAATTAATTTTATTAGTTTACATTCAGCTATGTAGTTCTTTTGGATATTTTTTTTTTGAAGGAGTGTGTTACAATTACACATTCCCATTTAATCAGATCCATGACTGTTTAATAAAGTAATGGGAGTAATTTATCTAGAAATTTATTTTTTCTATCATTATGCCATTTCCTTTATTATCACTAATCTAAACTAAAACAAATATTTGTTGGCCAATATGTAAATATTATATAATATAAATCAAAGTTAATGAATGCACTAGGAAAGTTTTTTATTAAAAAAACACCTGCTCACTAAATTTATTATGTAGGTTAAGAGTACAGCTATGAGCAGAGTATTCCCAAATGCAATGCGTAGGTGTTTCACATGAAACGAACAGGAGACCTCTATGTGGAATAAGCAATATCAGCTTCCAAATAATCGCATGCAATTTTTATTTGCATAATTGTTGTACTATTCAGAAATAATTACAACATATGACATATTTTGAAAAAATAGATGCAAGATGTTCATAAGATATGACTTGTCACTATATATTTTGTTTCTGATACGAGGTTTAGTTTAATCTTCAGTTTGCTTGTGAAACTGAAGTCGTGTTGCAAAATGATGTATTTAATAGTTTGTTATTAAGTTATTAACATACGAAGTTGTAAAGCTCTGATCTAAAGTTGTAGTTAAAAAATTTGTAGAGGAAAAAAAATAAAAAAATCAGAAAATGATTTACAATGTATTTTAATTCCAAGATCATACACAGTTAAGAAATAATAACTTTCTAAACATAGAGACCTGTAATAATTTTTCTTCAAAATTTAGAACTAAAAATACGAGTGCATACTAATTTTAAGAAAGCAGTAAAAGAGGTTGGTTGATTTCAATTTTGTAAATACATTATTTTTATTAATACAATTATTTCCACAATTAGAATTATATGTTGACATGAAACATCAGCAATAACTCATTGCAATCAATCTTGCCTGATCGCTGATCACTTATTTAGTTGTTGTATACATTTTAATTTCCTCTGATTACCTGTAGAATATTATGATGTTTATCCTTGGTAAGTTGCAAACCAACTATAGGTAAAGATTTTTGATGTTTTCAGAAGCACGAAGTCACATATTAGGTAGCCAGGAAAAATATCTTTAGTTTTTCTATTAGTACTGTTTTTAAAAAAATCATGAAGAATCGCCAGTCTCATTTGAAATAACATCCTGTGCTGTGCTTCGGGCATCTTCACTGTCCTCAACAAATGACTCCTGGTTTTGATCTTTCATGATATCCTGTCATAAGAAATTTAAATAATTGACTGAATGTTGATTTAAATACTAAGTCTGATCAAAATTAAATAAGAAGTAAAAAATATTTAGAAATACTCTAAAGGCATTGAAAAGTAACTGTCAATTACTTTCACTGCAGTTCACATCTAAATTTTTGAATATTTGATACAGTTTGACACAAACAATAACTACTGTATGTACTCGTTATTACGCCAACTTGTTTTGGAAACATTTCAATGGAATAAGTGGGGTGGTCAGCTTATAAGTGGGAGATAAGTAAAATTTTTCCAGGTTATTTGATTCTACTAAGAAAAAAATGAAGAAAAAAAGAAAGAAATTTAGGTCAACATAAAGCTGTGTGCAAAATTGGCCATGCGCAGACTTGGGGCATACTTTTCATCTCATATTGCGAGTGCCGTGATTGGCTGTTTTAAAGAGTATGAAAGTACGATATCTATATTGAAAAATGAAATTGTTTTTGTACATCTCCGAGGTCCTTTTTTGGTAAAAGTTCTGTATGGTTATTGTATATACCCATAGATGTGAGGCAAGTATCTGTGTTATACATAATACTATTATGTTTAGTAATTTTTTTTTAATATTTAAAAATATAAATTATTTTCTTTTGTATAGTACTGCCTCTACTAGAAATCCTATTATTTTGTGGAACAGGCTTATGAAGGAGGATATACAGTATTTTATTATTTTCATAAACATTTTATTACAAAATGTTATATTGACTTAGCCCAGTCAAATTAACTCATTCATCTTCACTGTGAGGAAAACTTACACTATTCTGATCAGTGACAGCTGTTGTATTCTCTGTGGCAGTATAGCCATCACTTGGGTGATGAACCAAAGGCATTTTCACGGCTTCTGAGTATGATTTTAAGGATGTTGCCCCTGAATCAGATGTAGATTGCAATACTGGTGTTTGGTTAGGTGCCCTCTGCCAAGATGGAAGGACTGGGGCAGTTGCTGGTGCAGGAGGAAACTGGCTTCTGTAAGAACAAACCAATTTTTTCTGGGTTGATTTATATTTCTTAATCTTTTCAAGTGAGTTCTCATAATATTGTACCTTGTAACATAATGTAAAACAACCCCTATACAATTCTAACATTTCATTTAGTATATTTGATTTTAGGCTTTAAATACGCTCTTGGGCGGATTTATCAAGTTGATTCAATCCCCAAGAATTTTTTAATTTATTAACATTTTTTATAAACAGTATAAGTCCTTTGATTTCCTTGCATTCTGCGCAATTAAATGAAACATTTTCTGATGATAATATTGTATAATGACAATAAAAACTCCCACAAACTTTGAAATTAATGATTTTTTTTCTGTGGTTAACTGAAAAGTAAAGAGATTTCTCACCTGTTCAACAGCAAACCTTTTAGGGAAGCGATGTCAGCTTTAAGGTCTGAGATTCCTCTCACTTCACCATATCCAATCTGCTGCTGTTAATTTATGTCAAACAAAGTAATTCATTTGTAATTCATTAGCTATTTTCCAACATGTAAGTTTTATATATATATATATNTATATATATATATATATATAAAAGAATGAGCCAAGTAAATGCCTTACGCTCAGTTCAATATAACTAAAAATATCACAGTTCATTATCACTAGACTATGTGCAAATTTATTTTCAATATGCTTGTAAGATAAACTTCATATTTCTAAAAATGATGGATTCTTAAAAACAATTTTGATTACTTTACGGAAATTGAAACAATTTAAATTTGATAAAATAACTCTACTCAAAATAAAAAAAATTATTCTTTAAATATATGGAAATATACATATAACTATTTTTTTTTAAAAAATGTAGTAGATTGCGTTTAGCATTATCTGAAAGCCCAAATTTGTAACACACTGGAATTTCTTTGAGACGAAGGACAATGAGATATTCCCATTTTTCCAAAGATACATTTCAGGGGCAAGGATAAGAGTAAGGCACATATTAAAATTTATAAGGATAACATAAGTTTATGTTAAAAAAAATTCATTGTAAATGTTTCGTTAAAATACATTTCAAGTGTGAAAGAAAGTAGGAACATTTTTATGTGGAAAACAGTATCTCAAAATCCAATCATTTTAAACGTGTAAAAATGTTGTTTGGGATTGAAAACTAATTCAGACATGGTAAACAGGAGCAAAAATTATTTGTATTCAAAAGGAAATAAAAATGGCAAAGTAAGGGTAAACCTGTAACAAAACAAAACACTTATGTGTCTGCAAGAAGACTTTTTGTAGCAAACAAAACAATACTAAAGAAGCACCACTATAGTGATAATTGAAAGAGGTAATACAATTTATAAATGATAATTATTCTGACATTTCATTTTTTTGTTGACAGGATTTTATATAATTTTACAAGGTTTTGGGGATTTTATGTACTGTATTTTGACACTGGATGTTGGCTTGTATGTGAAAACAAGGAAGACATTTATAATTATATGGTAAACCTGTCAAAATTAATAGAGAGTGATGATTTTTATGATATTACATTTTCACATAACATTTATATTAACAATATCTGTGAAAATTTGGCAAAGAAATTATAGAAGTTATGTATTCAAATTGATGCAAAAATATTATTTTTTAAGTATTGTCACATGATTCTAGAGGATAATTTTACTTTACTTATGTGTAGGCTATGTTTGTCTAAATCTTTTACAAAAACAAAAATGACATTAAAAATTTGAAGCAGAAGAATAAAAAAAGTTTGCTCATAATAATTATTATACCACCAGACCTGTGTTTGCTGTGTGTTCAATGTTAACTGTATGGCTGTCAGTGTTTTAGTCACTTCAGCTAGAGAATCTGTGATAGACTTTTGCACTTCCAAAATTTGACCTTCCAATCTCTCAAGTCTTTTCTCTCGCTCTGATTTTCCCAGCAACCAAGGTCGTAAATATTTCTGAAAGATAATGAGAAAATGATAAAAGCTAGCATTCCTAGTAATATAAACAGAAATGTGAGTAGGTAAATAAGTGATATACAGGCAGAAACCTAGTGGCAGATGGTTCACCTGCAGACCAAAACTGAGACGGATTGATGATGTAGAGAAGGACTTACACCAGTTGGGGGTTAGTGCATGGAGGCGGAAAGCCATGGATCGATCTGAATGGAAGGATGTGGTGGAGCAGGCCAGGGCCCTACATGGGCTGTAGCGCCACTGATGATGATGATGAGTATGTAAATAATATTTGTTATTGTTAAATAGGCATCCTTGTTTACAGTGCATGGGTGCTCTGGGTGACCCCAAGTTTGAAAACGCGACGGGGGTGTGGCTTAATTACAAATTGTCTCCCTTGACCTTAATTGCAAATAAATACAGTCTAAAGTCTGTAAAAGTAGAAACCTTTAGAATATACGAGACTATTAAAGAAACTTGAGTTTTAGCCCAATGCCGAACCCATTTCTAGAAAAGTCTCTGAAACAGACTATATTTACACCTATTCACAGAGCGGAGAGAGGGAGATTGAGCTGATAGAGATTGTTATTACGATAAGAGACAAAGATTTGTTTATAAATATTTACTGTGTGTGTGCGTGTACGTTCCTTTTTCAACATTGTGCTGGTACAAGTCATCACTGTACTTTAAGTCAATAGCTTTAGTTTTTATTCGTTTTTGATTTTGTAATTTTAAATTAACTTAATAAAATTATTAATTGTAATTAGCCCTAGTTTGGGTGTCGTTTCTGTATTACTGTATTTAATTTATGGTATCTTCTTTTGTTGTGTACTGTTTGTCAACGAGCCATATACAGACCAATTTATCCTCAAACTTTTAAAATCAAACAATATCCTCACAAAAATTAAACATACAGGATATATAATGTATACACATCAAAATTGTAAGATCGTAAGAGTAAACAGGTCTGCATATAGTCAAATAAGAGATTAAATTCTCTATACATCTAACAATACATAACAGTTATCTACACCATAGAAGATTTTTTGAGTCTTTTGTGGGGAAACAAAATGTTAAAATATTATTTGCATTTTAAAAACTTACTTGAAATACTTGGTAAACAGCGTAGGAAACACTAGCGACAATAACTGTTGTCATTGTTAGATCTCGAGTTTTAGCCCAAATAGACTGAGGAGGAACTGAAAAATTAATATGGGGGAACATTAAAGATGTTAGTTTCTTTAAAAAAAATTATAGTTACAAGAATTTAAAAAAAAAATTATTATTTTGTTTTGTATAATGGGAACATTTTACTACCTGATTTCTTTTTCACTAAGCTTAAACTTAATAAACATATTATCTTTACAATTCTAACAAGTAATTAATTAAGTAAAGATAAGAAAATATATCTGCACAAATATCTGCAATTAATTATGAAAGCCAAGGTATAAATAGAGTGTTGGTTACACCAAACTAAGTTATATAACGAGGAGACAATTTGGTTTAGGAAATATATCTGTTGTTATATCAATAGTTAATGTATAAAATATCTATTTTTCAAGCTTGAGATAATGTTAATTTGACAATTTTCTTATTCTATCACTATAATGAAATTTGATAATTAAAATGTTTTTGATAAATAAAAATGACTTGACAAAATACCCACTGGGTGCATATACAGGAACAGTTTGGGGGGTTATTGCCATCATTCCAGGTTGGTAGCCTGGTGGTGGTCCCATTTGACTAGTGGATTCTTCTATACCAATTGTTTCCTTGACACCTGACCTCTGCACAGCCATGCTGATTTCTTCTTGGGTAAGTCCTGAACACAAAGCAATACAAATTCTAACATCTTAATTGCCAGCATGATATTACTTGCAAAGAACAGATTTGTTTTGACAGTTCCCCCTTTTCAAAAAGTGTTGATTATGAATTCCCTTTTAGCTGTTATATTTACATCAACACTGCAAGACTTGTATTTTTTTAAATTATCTTTATTTTAGGAAAGCTTATCAAATTTAGAATAGAAAAATATAAGTATAAGCACATTGTTTTTTTATCACTCTTTACTGCATTAACATACAGTTCCTCTTATAAGTTTGGAGGCTGGCAAACCAACAAAATCTTTAGCACTATCATAACTGTGCTTCTTAGTCTTTTGATTACCTGAATCCAATTTTTGTAGGAGAAAAAATTTTAGTGAAATTCTATCAGAATAAAAAAGAATATTCATCCTGGCTAAAAATGTAAAATCAAACAAAGATTTGACTATAATCACCATGTGGACCATTTTGTTTGAAGTTACTTTTGTTTAGTATTTTTATTTAAAATAAATATGTTACAGAAGGCATGTCAAATATGAGTCCTGCGGGACACATATGGCCCTTTGGAAGCACACCTGCAGCCTGAAAAAAAATACTGTAATTTGGTGATTTAAAGGCCAAAATTGAAGTTTTTATAATTTAAACTGGATAAACGTGCGTCATTAACAGAAAAACGGCATGCGTTTCTTTTTTCAGAATGTTTTCTACACTTTGAAATAGTCTATAACCTTTTAATAGATTTCAAAAGTGCAAAATACAAAACGCATGCAGCAGTGAGGCAAGTGAGTTGAGACTTTTTTAAAGTTTTAAAAAAGCATTAAATTAGTTAAGTTTTATTTTATTAAGTGCATGAAGAATATATAAATAACTATATACAGTATTAAATCAGTGTTTATTTTAATAATAGGTGAAATGACATGTGCCCACAAAAGGTTGAATTGTTACTAAAATGGCCCATGAAGCCTTTTGGGTTTGCTACCCCTGTGTTACATGTTATTTTTACATAACTCTTTAATTTAAAAAAAGGTAAAACTTAATTATTATCATCCTTCTGTGTTTATAGCAATTAACTCATTGGTTTAATAACTTAACACACCTTTTTTCTCCAAAAAAGCCTTTTTTTGATACAGTGGACTTGACATAACTTTAGGATTTTGAAGAAACTTGACTGCAGTGCTGATCTGAAAAAGAAATCAAGATTAAAATATAGGAGAGAAATTTAAAAAAAAATCATCACAACTGAAATCCACCAACTAAAAAATATACTGAAAAATCATACTTTCAAGATCAATCTAAATCTGAGCATTTATTGAAAAGTTATTTATTTATAGTTTTAATTAAGTATTCATAATTTTTTTTTCTTAACCAGTACTTTGTTTTCAGTCATATGTTATACTTCATTTTAATGAACTGATTTTCAAAACAATTGTACAAACCAGATTTTCTCTTGGCCCTTCAGCTGGGGCAAGAATCTGTTTGTCTCCATCACCATTCACAATATTCTCTCCTGAATCTTGAGACATTTTGACCAGTTGGAAAGCTGAATAGAAAAAAAAGTTTATCTGGGTCTCACCACATAAAGGGGTGCCAAAATAAATTCAGAACTCGGATATCAAGGTAATCTGAAGATACAAAATAAATTACAACTTCAAATCTTTTTAAAATTGTTTTTTTTTTAAATTTTAAATATTTTGAATCTAAATAATTAAAAGACATACGACTTTACATTTTCAAGTTTCTGCAAGATGGAGATTAGAGCAGTGGTTTCTAAAGTAGACTGTATGATTTTCCAAGGGGGGGGGGGGTACAGACGGTGGAAGAGGTCTATAGCTTTAAAAGTGTGGGTTGTTGTACTCAAGGGCCTAATCAGATGTGATATCTATAGCTTTATATAACATTTAATTCCATTTCAACACAATTTTTTCAAGGCCATTTGTATTGACATAATGGGGGCCTGCATTATAATGTTTTTTAAAAAAAAGGGGGGGGGGGGTGTCAGGTGACATACTTCCCTTTCCTCCCACCCCCAGAACATGACTAAATTACTAAGTAGCATTGAGAAAAAATATATTTAAAAAGCTAAAATTGAAATTAATAATTTAAAAAGTATCGTTGACACTGTCAGACAATATTAAGAAAATTATATTATATGAGCCCCTCTAGTTTTTAATGACATTACTATTACTGATTACTTATTATCCTCATAAGTCCTTTTATGAATGTCAAAATAATTCCTTTTACTCTTTGTCTTAGTCTTAATTAACTTAATGAATTAGCCTATACTATATTTTAACAATTTGTATAGGGATAGGCTATTCCAATCACTAATAATGACATTATCGGTACTGCTCAGAATGGGGGTCCTAAAATAAAAAATGAATATGTTTCGTTAGAAAGTGTTCGGCTATCAGCCCATTAGCCGTTGATTATTGGTGACATAATTTTTACTTCAAATTTTGTTTGCAGACTAATTATTGCTTGTAATAATATAAAATAAACAATACCATATTTCAAATAATGTTTTTCAGGAAAAATTCTATTAACTTATGACACAACGTTGAAGGCATTGAATGGTTTGGTTAAGGTGGCTTGCTGAAAACCGTCTCATACAAAAAACTTCAAAAAAGCAATGCAACACAAACAACATTTTTTTAAATCTCTCTTACTTTTGCATTTTTCTTTATTTTTCTTCTTGTTTAAAAAAAAAGAAAAAAAGTTATTTCAGGGGATGATGATGATGATGATGAAGAGGCTGATGAAAATTGTGATCTTCATTAAAAAAAGAATAAATTTAAATAGATCATGAGATATTAGAGGTGAACAAATAACTTTAATAAGTCACTAATTGTATTCTATTTTTAATTTGGGACCGCCATTCTGAGGACATTATCTACTACTAGTCAAAAACTAATAGTGTCTTTTTTATTAACTTACTTATTACTTTTAAGTGCTAGTACACAGTTTTAATAATTAATAATGTCTAATAAAAAGTAATACTTCTCTGTCTAATACTACTAATAGTAATAGTTAAATTAGTAGTTAGTAAGCCTAATAATAAATAAGTAGTAGTAGTACTATGATCAGTGAAGTAAAGTAATACTAGTAATAGATATATAAAAATATAATTATCATTATAAATAATTCATATATTATTTAATTTATAAGTTCAATAAGAATAAGAGTAAGACTAAGTAAGACCAAGAGGATACCGATACTCCGGGATAGTCTATATAGTATATAGTCTAGGCCTAGGCATTATTTATATTTAATAAATATAATTAGTGATAGTGCCCATATTATATTTTCTACAAGACTTATGATAAACTGATTTACATGTTTGAAATCTTGGCTTAATAAAACTCCATTTATATGCGTGTGACTGTGAACATTCCCTTGTTTCTTTCTTGTTTCTTTAATTTTTCATTCTCGGACCTTTGCTCACTTCGAAAAACAGTAAGATTAGCTACCCTTTACTTTTATCAGTAGCAAGGGAAATAATTAAGAAAATGTACATTAACAAATGGATAGTTATTTTCCTTACTGAAGCGAGCTCTCCGGGTTTTCGGTTTCAAGTTGTCGGGGATGAAAAAAAGGTAATCGGTTTATTTTTAATTTAACGAGCCTCAATGGTAAAATTGATTACGTCTAGAAAGTGCTTACTAAATATAATGGACCAATATATAAAAAGAAATATTATTTTAATAATCTATATCGTTTGGCTTTTGGAAATTTATCTTTTAAAAAAGTAAGTTAAATGAATAACAAGTGATAGATGCATCAAAGTAAAATTGCGAATCTTTGCTTCCACTTTCCCCAACAACGGTATAAACACTGCAAGTAATGCATTGAATTTAAGGCCACTTTGACTTTATATTATAGTTAAATAAGTATCTCTAAGGCTAATAAAGATTAAATTAATTTAAATTTATAATTAGCCTATGCCCAGCCGCTATTTTTTTTAAGTTACTCCCCACATTATAATTATATCAATATTATATAAAGTTAATTTTGTTAAGGACTTTGGTCAAAATTAGTTATATCATTTTTTGCTAAGAATTATTCAGTTACTAAATATAAAGTACAAAAAGGGGAGGCCGGTAGTCATTGAATTAATTTGACTTTGAACAAATATTCAAATAGGCAAAATAGGGTAATTATTAATTAACATAATATATATAAATTAAATTATTTATTTTTAATGAATTTTATATAATATAAATAATAAAATAGACGCCGTCCAAATTTAAATGCACAAACATTTTTACTTGATAATTTTTATTAGGAAGCTAAATAATATGGCTTCATTTTTAATTTCTCTTTACCACTGACATATCCGAGTAGTGTATAACTATAAATATTAATATTCAAATTTTAAAATATTTTTCTCATCTGTTTAGAGTCAATGCAAATTTAAAAAGGATAGTTTTCAAGCCAAATTAAAACTAAAATCTGAATTGCAATTTCTGAGTTTTCTGCCATTCAATCTCAGTTGTAAATGATTGAATTAATTAGAGATAATTTTGGGGCTGAAAATGATGTAGGATTTTTTTTAAAGTTGGGTTTAGCTACATCTCCTTCAGATTATTCAGAACATAAAAACTTTATAAGCAATGATGGATATCTTCCCACCTGATTTCTGAACCATGATAATTGTCTACTCAAACTCAGAATGAATGCTTGCCCATTCTCTTTTTCTTCCAATAACAAAACATTATTCATATGCCATGTTTTTACCAACTCTTCCACTCACTGCTTGTAAATGTAATAATTTTCTGATAGAAGTGTTTAACCTAAGTTCTTATTAATTATTATTTTTCCAGGTCAATGGGGTTGAATTTATGCTTAAATTCATAATATAACAGTTTTCAAAATGCCCCCTAAAAAGAAAAGTTCATCAGACGAAAATCAGTAAGTCCTATTTTCTTTAGCTCTCTCATAAAATCATTGTATCAATTTCTGTTAATGTTTTTTTTTTAAAATAAGCACCATATTACATTTGCATTTTTGTGTTAGTTCAATTTTTAAAAATCTTTATTGATTTGATTAGTTTTGGAACATGTTAATTATTTTGTTTTTTTCCATAGTGTTAACTCTTTTGGCAAGAAGATTAGCATTCCCAGTGTGCCTACTCCACCACCAGGACCACCTCCTCAGCAAATTAAAGGAAAGCGACCTATTCCTCCAATAGGACAACAACAGCAGGTGACGGTTTTTGTGGCTATTTACTCCCTAGATTAAATAATATTTATAATATTTAGCCTTCACCACTCTCTATCATTTAAATAGTTGTATGTTTATATGAAATTTTTTAAAAGTGTATTTTGACATGTTATTTTTTTTCTCATCTGATAAGTTTCAAATATTTAGGCCTACATTCAACATAACTTCATCACATTTTGATATTTAATTTTGTATAATGATATCTTACTTCAAAAGTTATTGTTATTTTGGATCTGATCTTAAAAATCAAATTTCGTTCTGTTCACCTTTCCCAGCAAATGCAATGAAATCTGTATTATTATGATTTCTTTACTTGATATTATATTTAAAAGCATTTCACACTGACTAATTTTCTGTTATTTGTTCTCAATTTAATTTAGTATTCAAAGAAATATTCTTTACTTGGCTTTGTTCTGCTGTTTACAGATGCTAGCTGAAAACAGAACACAGAATGACGTAACAGAAGCTGAGTTTGAATCAGAGTCATTTAAAGAGACTGTGATGAAGAAGGCACCCAAAAAAGGGTAATCAGAACTTGAAACTTTTGTGAGAATGTAGTTTCAAGCTAAGTTACACTTAACTGAGTATTAACAATGCTCTCTTTCTTTTGTCAATAACTGAGTGTTTTAAATACATTTAAAATTAAAATGAACATAGCCTATCCCATTATGATTTTGCACTTATTTCAGTGAGCTAAGCTATTGCTCTGTTAACATATATGAGGTCTTTAACTTAACTCCCCCTACAATATCATTAAAATAAAATATATAGAGATTTTTCAGTGGTAAATAAAACTTGGTCATATAGAAAGCTTTGAAACAGTACAGATTCTGTCTGCTAATATTATTATAATTCATTTGATTATTTATACTTTCATTTCTTTAAATTCTTCATTTTATATCATATTGGCCATAAAGATTCTCAATGTTATATCATATTGGCCCTAAAGATTCTCAATGTTATATCAATATTGGCCTATAAATAACAATTAATATTATGAAGTTATTTCCTAAAATAAAAATTTAATGATATTTCTTATCTTATAATGTCTGATTGTTAGAAAAATGCCCATATCAAAATCCAAGGCTCCTGTTCGGAACCCTATAATGCAGCAATTTGAAAAAGCTCAAGCAACAACACTAAATTTGGCTGAAAAGTACTCTGAATATAAAGAAGAATCTATTGTACCAGATGAAGAAAATTCCAGGTTAGTTCAGTGTTAAAATATGTTAAATTAATTCTTAATTGAAACATGGTTATCAGATTTTATGATTTTAATCATAAAATAATTTAAATTTATATATATTAAAATTATATAACTCACAGAAACAATCTGAAAAAAAGATATGCTATAAACAAAACTGCTATTGCAAATTTATATGCTATTTTTATATTGCAAAATTTTTTTAACCAAAGACATTAATTAGCCAAAATATTTGCAAAGACATGACTATTAAGTTGTTTGTTGTATCTGTGACTATATTAAATTGATATGCTTTCTCAATGATTTTGATAAATGGCAAGGCTAGGAAATAATACATTTCAAAAATTCTGTTTTTTTTACCTCAATGTTTAAAAATAATTCATTTACAACTTCTGTAGAACAAGCATTATTACAATGGTTGACTCATTTTGACTCAGTCATTCAGATTTATTGCATGAAATTCAAAACTTCAAGAAAAATAAACTGCAAAAGATAAGGAAAGCTGTGGATGATGAAACGTCCAAGGATATGTTTGATCAAGATTTGGAATCTCCCAAACCAGTCACCTTAAGCCAAGCTGCTCTATGCTTCAATTTTTGGCAAGGTGACAGTTATCCAGTTCACAAACTTAAGGTCTGCATTTGTTGGTATAGCAATAGGTTTACTCAAGGTTTGCTCTGAATTTTACTTATTTTAAATGCATAACTTACTGGTACATTAATTATTTCAGTTTAAGGTAATAAAGGATTTTTATTGAAAAAAGTAATTAAAAAAAATTCTGAAAAATTTTGTTTAAAATTTAAATTATAATTAAATGAGGCAAATGATTAAGATAGATTATACTGACTTATGTTTGTGTCAATTAAATTAATCAATGAAAGTTTTAGACATAACTATATGATATTCATTTTAAAACAAAAAAATCATCACTAATTTTCAATTTTTCCATTTACTTTTTTTCTGTTTCAAACTCAAGCACTGTAATAAATGAGGGTCTCTTTCGAAATATAAATATGGTTTTCAAAACAAATTTTCAGTTCATAATTTTACAAATACCTGCAAGGGCTGAAGTAACTCTGAACTTTGCTGGAATTTCTCAACTAACTGATATTGCATTTGCCGTTATGAGCAACCTGAGGCACACAGAGATGGTGCGATTCAATGGAGTGAAAGCAATTATTCTTGATGGCTGTTACCTTATATCAAATGCAGGTCTTGCCTGGATGGCTGATGCTTTCCCTAATCTAACCATGGTGAGGTTTTGTAAGCTAATGATTTCATTGCCAGTAAATTAATTTGCTGAAATGTATATTTTATTCTCTAAAATATCAATTTATGAAATATTTAAGTAATTTACTTCTTTAAAATGTTTAGATTTGATCCGTATGATATGTATAAAAACGATCTGGGTTAAGGCCAGGGTTAATATTAACATTCAAATACATCTGATACATCTTATATTATTTTATTTTAAATTCTACCCTTCAGCTGAGTATTGTTGGTTGCAATAAAATAACCAACTCTGGGCTGGTTGCCATCAGCAAAAAGTGTCCTAACATGAATTCACTGGACATTAGTGGAACCAGTGTCACATTTTTACCCTGGCCTAGTCCAGAGGGAACAAAGATGACCAACTGCCCCATACTTTTTCCAATGGTCCCGGCAGATGTGAAATTGGATTCTTCAGGTAAAATGATGCTGTTGAAATCTTGATTTGCTCTGAAAAATTATATAGTTAAAGTTGATTGTTAAATTATATAGTTGAAGTTGTTTGTCAAATATATAGATTGAGGACACTTTGGATAGGAAAATCTCATGTTAGGCATCCATTGTAAAATATCTCCGGCAAGTCCTATTTAAAATGTTTACATTCAACACGACAGTTTTAAAAATACCAAAGTATGCACTTCAACTGCAATGCCCATTTTTTCAGCCATACCCACCTAATTTTTCTCAATAGAAATATTCATGTGAATCAGTGAATCTAACAAATGCTGTTTTATGTCTTATATCTATTGGGGGACAATTTTTTCAGTAGCCCACATCAGGGAAGCTGTCACCCTGGTCTGTCAGCTACTGATGAAAAAGCAAGCTTTCCCTTGCCGTTTGTTAGTTAAACTTCTCAAGGTGGTTCAAAATTATTGCCTAATTATGTTTGTAGAAATATTCTGCCCTAAAGTATTAGAGGGATAAATGATTACAATTTACATGAATTTTATGTGAAATGTAAGCTTCTATATAATTATATTTTATTCAATGACATACATAACAGAACCCTTGAAGGCTGATTCAAAGATCCTTTGCAAAGTTTCTATAATTAAGAGAGAGAAAACACACATCAGCTTGTTAACAGCAATAAAAGGAGAGAAGCCAAAGTTAACATCATCATTTCTTGAATTTGAACCAGACGTTCATGCTGGAGATATGACAGCTACAATTCTAGAATTTGATCAGGTGACATGCACATTTCCCCTGAAAATAGAACTAGTAAAGGTGTTGTAAATACACCATCCATGTTTTATGATTATCTTCTAGGTTTTCAATTTTTTGGAACATAAATCCTTGAAACTAGAAAAACAATACTTGATGAAGTAAAGTAAATTTATTTTTTTATTGAATTCAAACAAGAAATCTTATCACAATAAGAGAGTAAAGCAAAGTTTGATGTGTAATTGCAAAAATATCTATTGAAACTCATCAACTATGATGGCCTTTGTTCCCGAGTACCTAGCTAAGACTGTTTTAGTATACATAACAGTCTGTTAACAATCAAATATAAGCTGCTATTGAATTATTTGAGTCCATTCCATAAACAAGATATTTATAAATTAATCAATTTTTCAAACACTTTATAAAATTAAAAAAATTTAAAAAATCAGTAATGGATTCAGAATTTGAGATAATTGCAAAAATCTTTACTTTCCTTGCCTTAGCATTTTTTAAAGTTTTGCCTAATTTTATGTGAATTAATTCAGTTAGACAAATCTTTCTAACATAAAAAATGCATTCTGATAAATAATATCTTATACCAGTTAGTTTCTATATTAAATGTAATGCTTTGAATGCTGCTAATTTAATACTAGAATTTCTTTTTTTAAATTTTATCTGTCACTTATTGTCAGAAATTATTTTTTGAAAGGGATAAAAAGTTTCTAGTGATAATAATAACTATTTTTATGTATTTCGTAGTCACTGACTAATGTTATGGTCACTGACCCGTCAGTGGTAGTCATCACAACAGAACTAAAAGACAAGAATAAGATTCAAGAAGAGGTCTCTTCAATCAGTGCCATCATTCTAGAAATTCTAGGAAAGGTAAATATGTTTTAAATTTTGATTTTGATCATTTTGGTAAAAATCACTACTTTGGATTTGCTTTACTTTATTTAAAAAAAAAAAAACAACTCTTAGTATCAATAGTAACTAATATTTCTGTATCATCTAATAAATTCACTTTATGAATTTTTATTGCACTTTCATTCTGTTATAGCAGACTTTTTAAATGATGCTGTTTGAAAATGGCTGCAATATATTAATAAGTCCTAATAATTATTACAGTACGTTTATCAATCTTAACTGAAATTAGCATCTACTTACTTTAAACTCAGCTCAACATTATCATCACCAAACCGATTTATTTTCCAGAATCCAAATGTCCATTTCCTGCTTGTTGGTTGCTCTTCAGATGCTTCTGGGATTGTTCCTACTGATATCATAAAAGAGGAGGTTGAAAATTATTTAAAGAGAATTGCAGATCTGATAAAAGATGCAAATTATTCAATAGGGTAAATTTAACTTAAGTTTATTGGTGTTTATTTGTTTTCTTTACACTATAAATTTCTTAAACTTATATGAAATATTTTTATATGTATGGCAAATTATGGACCAAAGGTCAATTTAAATGGACCAATATGATTTTAGCTTCATTTTGATCAATATTGAATTTATTGCACCGCCATTTTTGAACATGTACAATTTTAAAATAAAAATCCATTGAAAACCTGTACTAAATCCTAATCAACCATACACACTGGAAAAACAAAAAAAAATGGTACAAAGTATGGGTAAACTGTATCACTTTGCTTGTAAGCTGTAACAAATATAGTTATAAGGAGAAAATCTGAAACAATTTTCAAAAATGCAGCCTAATAAAATATTATAGCCTTCATAAACTCTAATGAAATGAGCACATTAATTATAAAAGGGGACCATATTAATTATTAGGCTTATGAAAAAAGTCTGCATAATTTTACTGTGTCCTGAGATAATCATTTACTTCAAAATTTATCACTCTAAAAAAAAAGTTTGTTAAATTTGTTTAAAGGGCTATTGATCAAATGCCAATTACAAAGCAACTGGAGTACTCATCAGCCAGAAGACTGCAAGAAAGTATAAGTAAAACCATTATCAGCTCTTTTGAAATCAATGTTGATAAGGCAGAGGAAGTAAGTATAACATGCAATGACCCTGTTTATTAAAGAACCAGTTTTGTTTTGTGGATTGCATTTATTCACTCAAACTTTTTAGCTTTTGAGCTCATCATGTTGTTATGATTCTTAAGGCTGGGTGTGAAAATATTCACTTATATATTTAAATGCCTGACTTATGAAGAAAGTGGACTCTAATTGACACCTTCTCCTTTGTTTTTAATGAGTAAACTTAAATGGTAAATAATGCAAAAAAAGTTTTGAACAATTTAGTCATTAATTTTTTTTTCAATGTCTACTTTCCTGGCCAGATTTCTAAAACTGTATTTTACACTTCATTTGTAGATAAATGAGCATTGCTATTTAAGAACTATTTTGTAGAATTTATCAAGAAAACTTATTATTATTGCATTAATAAGTTCAGCAAAACTTTTAAAACCAGTAGAAATGAGAATAGTGAGTTATGGAAGCATGCACTCATCATCTATTTGGTTTTATTTGAAGAATGGTGGGTCTATGTTTGTATGTTAGCATTTTAAAGTGAATTAAGGATTTTTGTAAACACTCTCTTTCCATGTCTTAATAAACTACACTGTGTTTTATATTTCAATAATCCTTTCATTTAATTTACCATGAGAAGCTATGGCCAATTGCCAATATTATCATGCATGTCATAGCTATGGTCATGATTAACATACATATCATAGCTATGATCACTATATGTATATATTAATATACATGTTTTGACGCTCAAGATTGTTTTCTGTTGGCACTTATTTTGTTCATGCACCAAAATTAAATCAGTTGATTTGCAGACAAAAACTTAGTATTTCTTGGTAAAATGAGTAGTATTAAATTTTCTTTCTTTTGTTGCAGGGGAAAGAAAATCTGAAAAAGGAGCTCTCCAACTTGGCAAAGAATATTGAAGAGCTCCAAGAAATAAATTACAGTGAGAAAATATATTCATGGGCTCAGACTTTCCATTTGCAATGTCCTACAGATCTGCAAACTGGAGTACATGAACTTCACAAAGCAGCTGAAATTATTGGAGCAAGCTCTGGTTTTACTGAGAGACTAAGAGGATTTGGAGCTGTTCATTTCTTAGTCAGCATAGTAAGTCTCTTTAATAGTTTCAGAAAACCCAAAACCAATATCTAATTCTGGTTGATTATTATTTTTATTTTGTGTGTGGCTTTAAGGCATTTATAAATTAAATATAATATAAGAAGAATTAAAAAAAATAAAAAAAATATGATCTTCAGTGCTTGTATTTATCATTTTTGTCACAGTACTTTCAAGTGTGCAGTTAAATTATTTTTTAAATTCATTTAAACAAAAATGATTTCTAGATAAAAACTGAGAATATCTTTTGCTTATAACTCTAGGGAAAACTTTGTATGTGGATCAATAAATCTGGAGAAACAATGGTTGCTAGCACTCCTTGGCTCTTTGAATGCTTGAAATTGCTACTCTCCCCTTGTCCAGGAGGGATAACTAACAATGGCTTGGACCACACCATACCAGATGACATATCAATTTGGCCATTTGAAAAACTGCAAGAGGAAGTTAGCAACAGGAATTTGAATTGGGCTCTGGTATAATTTTCTTTAAGTTTCAAACAAATTTTTTAAATCACTTTTAGAAGGGTAGTTTACTGTGTTTTTAATTGTGGGGGAAAATTTACTATTTTTTATTTAATTTATTTGCTTTTTGTTTCCTTCCAAAAACAGTTACTTATTAAAATATTTAAATATTGATATTTTCTTAAACATCTTGATGATAACAATTTGTATTTAATGCTATAATTAAAAAGAGTAAGGCTTAAGTTAAGGGACTGATTTGCATTGGCACCTACTGTAATCACATTGCTGCCATTGTGTATTCACGTTACTTTGAATGTTTAGTCAGGAAAGAATTTCAAATATTCATAGTTTCATGATTTGCTGAGCAAGTTTCCGTATCCATGGCTGACAACCAGTTCAAGTGTAACAACATTGAATAAACTTCCAGATGCTCCCCTGATGTCAACAGTATGTTACATTTTTTTCTACCATAAATTTTGCTGATTAATTTGAATTTAAATGTGTGGGGCTAGATATTAATTAGAAGAAATCAATAAAAAAACTTTTAAGAAGCATTTTAAAAAAGACAACTTAACATTTGAGGCAACATAATGAATTATCATGAAACATATTTAAAAAAGATACAATAATGTTTTATTTTTAAACTTAATTAGTTTTTAACAATACATTATTCTAGATATCAAGCATACATAAATTCATTAATATCAAAAAGAGTTAAATGATTGGAACATTTAATGATTCACATTGTTGCTTTGATTAATAATATGATGGACAAGTAAAAGAACTGTTTTTTGTTTTGTGTTTTTAATTCAGAATCTTATTAATGTCAATGCTTCTTGTTTCAGCAATTTTTCACAGAGTTTAATAAAAGATCAGATGAAGGTGGCATCCATCTTGTGCACAGCTTTGTCCTTAATCAAACTGTCACACCAGCTATAATGCAGGAAATATTAATGACCGCACTGCAGTTTCATATACCTATTCATATATGGAAGACTGGTGTTATTTTATATGATGGCATAGTAGCCATCATGCTAGGTCAGATAGGTGAGTTAAACTTCTACTGTTTCTCAACATATCACCATATAACAAAATTATCAAAGGTAATTGATCTGCAACGTAACAATTTTAAGCAAGATGTTAAGACAAATTATTTTTACAAATTGTGATGTAATTTATTTCTTAAATATATATAAATTAATTGAATGTATAGACATTAATTTTGTAATACCTTTGCACTTAATAATTCAAGCAAACATTTCATCTCAGTAGTAACTAGTGCAATTTAAAAAAAATATTTTTTGTAACTATTTAATTCAGTATTTTTCATTTACAGGTTACAGTAAAGTTTTGAATCTCTGTGCATACATGACATCTTCTGGGGATAAAGAAGATGCCTCAAATTTAATCTACAACACAGTGGAGAAATATAAGATAATTGTAGAATGTACACTGAAGTCATTTGGATTTTCTTGGGAGCTGCTGCATTCTGTTTCAGAGAGTATATCAACTCCACCTGGTAAACTGCAATTAATAACAGATAATAGATTTCATTCAAGTTCACCAGAATATCATTGATTCAAATAAATCCAGAATAAAATAATAATCAGTCAATGCTAAAGGAAAATAAAATTAGATGTATTTTTAAATTATGTGCATTATCAATAAAGAATAACTTTTAACTTTGATCTAAACCATGTGAAAGTTTTAAGAAAATAACATGATGAAATGCTGGACTAGATTTCACTGTTAAAATAGTTTAAAAACCCATATTATTGAATGTTTTTAAAAAGTTGGTGAACCTTAATATTTATATTAATGCATCCTGAGGTCAGTTACACAGTGAATGAATTAGGTAAGCCATGCTAGTTTGATGGATTATGTTCTGTTGCAGAAAAAATATGCGGAGTTCTGCATGGCCACTTTCTTAAAGCTGGACAGCCTGGACCATGTTTGCATTGCGGCATATCACCTATGCAATCTGCTGTGCTCACAGTAAAATATATATTTATTTTTAACTTTTATGAAAACAGTTTTTTTTGTAAACATTTTACCCAGTGAAATTTATCATCACAAAAATTTTTTGTTTGCTTGGAGAACTGATGGATATGCATGTTTTAAATAAATGTTCAGTCTTTTTGGGAATTAAAAATATCATAAAAAGTTATATATATGATTTTTTTATATATAACTATAATAATATTAATTATTTATTCTATCCTGAAGCCATATTTATTTCTCTAAACTGTAGCATTCAATATTGTACATTGTTTTGCTTTTTTTCCCAGGCACTGGAAATGTCAGCACAGCCACAATTCTTGAATTTGGATTTAGTCATGAGTCCAGATCTAAAAGGCAGTGTTGTGGGCTCAGCCTTTGAATTTAATGGACCTTGTGATGTCAAGGTGGCAGCCCTGGTTGATCCTTTTGGCTGCCGTACCTGTTCAGTGTTGCTGATGCAAGGAAATGTCCGTCTACTGAAGATATTTTTTATGTAAGCCCCATTTTTATTATGATTACTAAGCTAAATTCCTGTTATCACCTCCTGTATGTACAAAATCCAGCTACTGTTGTGGGTGAGGCTCTTGAAGTCATGGGTATAATTTTGAATATTGAATCTCTTGACTTGCTAGCCATTCATTGTGCAACAATTACAGTAAAGCCAACACAGTGTCCAATCATCTTTAGCTCTTCTCTAATCACTAAAAAAATTCAGATAATCCAAGTTCACAAGGTAAAGTACCATATAAATTTTAACACTGATAGAAAAGTAAAGAGCTCTGAAATCGTTGACGACGCACGCTACTAGAATTTGAGAATCTATCCCACACTCCACACTCAGAACTCTCAGCAACCTATCTATCAGCATGACAACTACCAATTCTACTCTACGAGAACAAACTAACTTCCCCTGCTCACACACCTGACATCTTTATTGCCAACTCAACTCATGAATCATCACATTCGAAACACACTCACAACGCAGATCATAACAAACTCTAAAAGTGCAAACTTAAATTCACCGAGTGAAAGTCTATCATTTTAAAAGGAATTGTTAGAAAAACTACTTTTCTATTCTACTCAGGTGTAGACTATGTGACATTTATATATGTGACATTTATCTATGTGACATTTAAATATGTAAATTTTTCTCATGTTTTGCCACACCCTCCACTGCACTTGAATTTATAATTAGCTCTGCAGATTCATTCAGAAATTGATTACACTGTGCTTGAATTTATAATTAGCCCTGCAAATTCATTCATAAATTTATTAAACTGCACTTGAATTTATATTTAGCTCTGCAGTTTTCATAGGAAATTTATTATAAACAATAAGACATGTGAAAATATAAGTCCTATATAAAAATATTTTAATGTCAGTCATCTACTAGTTTTGTCAATGAAACACTTGTAGTCATATATTTTTTTAAAACTTATTTTTTCTTTAGTTCATCTACAAGAGATAGTATCTGCATCGATTTAAATTCCCAAGCTATAAGGGTAACTTTAAAAGAGGATGAAAAGGTATTTGACATTTCAAAAGAACTTGGCACTTTGTCTTTGCAAGGGGAAACAATCACAACCAAAATAAAGGGAGACAATCCTTTTGAAATTGAAATCTATTTAGGACCTAAAGTTCTACAGACTTTGGCAGTGCCATTCAACAGGTATATATTTCATTCTCATTATTATCAGTCAGAGGCATAGCTAGAATGTTGAGAGCCTGGGGGCAAGATTCATTTTAAACCCCATTTTGGCGCCCCCTTCCCCCCAGTCTGGTCTCCTCCTCCCCCCCCCCTCCCCAGGGAGATCTGTACCCCTTCCCAACCTAGCTATGCCACTGTTATCAACTTCTTATTTGGTAAAATTGTTATTTTAATACACAACAATAATTTTTGTGTTTCATGTTTCATTAAAGTGTAAATATAACTTTTTGTAATTTTTACAGGTATGAACTTAAAATTTCGTCAAATGAGTTTAAAAACCCTTCAAATAATGCAATGATTTTAATCACTGGCAGTAACTTTAAGGTAAATAATGGCTTTTAGCACTGATGCATGTGTTTGTGTGTGTTTTATAATTTAAATCATTGAAAAAGAAATTATTTAAATGATTAATTTAAATGTTTTAGTTGAAACCTTTCTGACAACAGAAAAAATACTAATTTAGTTATTGTTATAAAATTAGCTTATGTTGTTAGCTAATTAGTTGAAACATACTATTATATATATATATATTAGGATGGTCCAAAGATTCGAAGTTTGAAAATAGTATGTTCTGACCGTTAAGTTTGTTCCACTACACAAGAAAATAAATCCTGAAAATGTTCAGTTAAATTGAATCATAATTAGAGTACATTCAAGTGAGTTAAATTTGAGTCCTCATCGTCTATATGCATAATAGTGAGAAAAAAAATGATCATAAATGAAAATTGTGTGTTTTATTGTCACAACTTGTGAAGAAAGAATTTCAACCATCTTGGGATTGAAATATTCCTTGATCTTACTGGGAATGAAAAGGTTAATAGACCAACTGGTAATTTTTGTGTGGGAGAATAAATCAGCTTTTTGGTGTTCCCAAGCTGAAATCCAGTAATGGAGAGTCTCAATCATCCAGTAATGGATAGTCTCAATCATCCAGTAATGTAGAGTCTCAATCATCCAGTAATGGAGAGTCTCAATCATCCAGTAATGGAGAGTCTCAATCATCCAGTAATGGATAGTCCCAAGCATCCAGTAATGGAGAGTCCCAAGCATCATTGTAGAAGAGATAAAATAAAGGCAATGTGCTTTGATACTACTTCAAGTAACACAGGTCATTTAAGTGGAACATGCATACTTCAAGTAAGACATGTCATTTAAGTGGAGCATGCATACTTCAAGTAACACAGGTCATTTAAGTGGAGCATGCATACTTCAAGTCAGACAGGTCATTTAAGTGGAGCATGCATACTTCAAGTAACACAGGTCTTTTAAGTGGAGCATGCATACTTCAAGTAAGACAGGTCATTTAAGTGGAGCATGCATTCTTCAAGTAATACAGGTCATTTAAGTGGAGCATGCATACTTCAAGTAAGACAGGTCATTTAAGTGGAGCATGCATTCTTCAAGTAATACAGGTCATTTAAGTGGAGCATGCATACTTCAAGTAAGACAGGTCATTTAAGTGGCGCATGCATACTTCAAGTAACACAGGTCTTTTAAGTGGAGCATGCATACTTCAAGTAAGACAGGTCATTTAAGTGGAGCATGCATTCTTCAAGTAATACAGGTCATTTAAGTGGAGCATGCATACTTTTATAACAAAAATTGGAAAAGGACCTTCTCTACTTGGTTGCAGTCACCATATCTTAGAAATTGTTGTAGGTGTCTTTGGGTGAAAATACGAGAACCACAAATTCTGGTCCTGATGTTCCAATCTTTAAGTGCTTCAAGCAATCATAGAGCAAAATTAATAAATCTTGTGTGTAAGTGGTGTTACTAAGGAAACAGTTATAGATAGTTTTAAATATGAAAAGGGTAGTCTCATGAAATTTGCAATTGGGGAAACTTAAAGCTACGCAAACCAGAAATGATTACAAGGAATTTCTTGAGTTAGCCAAAGCAGAGTGTTGATTCTGACCCTTGGAGCTCTTCATCGTCCCAGGCCGATGGCTAAAGCAATATACACTTTTAACATATGGATGTTTCTTGGGCAATTCAAACTCACCCCAGGAGTGGAAAGAGGATTTCTTGAAATATGATCTTTCTATTCTTCATCAAGGAATGGTTTCCTGGCCCTCAGTGCATTTCTGCTCCTAATAGTGATCTAAATCTCCTTCAAAAACTTAGTGATTATGAAAAGCTAAATGCTGCCTTCTACAAAGTTGCCACCACAAAATTCAAAAGTCTCGGTGATGAGCTCCTGAGGTTGGCATTTCTTTTTATAAAACTCTGTCATTTGAGTCATCGCGGCAAAGTTGAAGTCTATTTATGAAAATGAAGGATTGATGAACCTCAAAAGCATATTCAGCTTAGTTCTGAGAAATCTACTTTATTGAAAATAATACAATTCATTACAGAAATCTACTTTATTGAAAATAGTACAATTCATTACAAAAACAAAATAAATTTCTTCCATTGTTTAAGCATCCTAATGATCTATCTAGAATCTGATTATGAGACATGGAAGCTGAGATGTGATTAGAAACAAGCCAGGAAGATTGTTAAAACATTGAGGTGGTTAATGGCAACGCAAAGAGAGACGTGTGGCTCTCATGCAGGCGTTTAACAGCATTATAACATGAGAGGAGGAAAAGAAACACTTCTCGGTACAGGTTGCACAGGTTGTACAGGTTGTACAGGACAGTTGTCAGCATTTACCTGACTGTGAGAAAACAACAATGGCCACAGAACTCACTTTTAACATGATGATTTTCAATCTAAAAGTGTGTGTGGAGAGTTACATTGTTTATATTCAATTCTATTTAATAGAAATATTTTGAAGTTTGTTTCAATGGTCCAACACTAGGAAATTCTATTGTAATGGAGAAACTTCAAATCTGTTGAGCTACCTGTAAAACTTGATAAAAATCCATGATATTTTACATGCACTGTTTTTTTATATAGTAGAAAATAATAACGGGTGGGTTAGACCAATGAAAATTTAACATTTAAAAAACACAATATTTTATGGACCACCCTAAATTATAAATATATTTAAATGATACATGGTAAGTAATTACAAAATACAAACTTTGTTTCATGTTTCTTTTCTGAAGTTTCTTTTTTTAACCCCCTTCAGATTTATAAGAAGAAAGCCCCTCGTTGATGACAGTGTTTTCTCTTTAAACATTTAAAAAAGCTTTACATTTCAATTGCAAGCACTTCAATAAACTTGAGAATTTTTGTACAGTATATATGAAAAAATATAAACAATGTATTGATTTCACAGAATTTGGGTTTGGCTGCCTCATGCTGTTAGGGGGGCAGGCATTTTTTTACAAATCTATGTTAATATCTATAATTTGGTCCCCTAATTTATCTATGTTATATATCTATAATAATAAAAATTTTCTTTCTCCCAGTCCTCTGTACACTCATTACAAGTAGGAATGAGACTTGAGGCGGTTGATAGGGCAAACCCACACCTGATTTGTGCTGCTACAATAAGTAAGTTCACCTAATTTTTTTGTACTTTTACCATAGGATAGTGCAACTAATTTGTACTGATGCCATAAGAAAGTGCTCCTGATTTGTGCTGTTACAATAAGCAAGTGCACATGATTTAGTGCATATAAGTTCACTTTAAAGACACGTTTTTGTACTCTAACTTGAAACAAGCGGATCACAAAGTTATTACAGGATTATGGTATCACTAAATTTCTTACACCTGTGCGTTTTGTTTTTAGTAGGTTAATTACTGTGAATGTTATCATTGACTTCCTCTAATTTGTCTTTGCAGTGTGATTTTTGTGTGTGCGCTATGGATTGATTCGAAATGATATGGCTCACTTGATTTTAAACTCATGGTCGGCTAACGCATATTTTTCTCAACACGCAGGTGACATTAACCCAGTGACAGATGAGGTTCTCATTCACTTTGACGAGTGGGGTAACAGCTATGACTACTGGACCAAGTTTGACCATGAGGATCTACATCCCATTGGTAAATGGAGTAAATTCTTTTCATAGATATTCATAAATAAATAGATGATTTAATAGATTGAGAGAAATGAAGGAAAAAAAACCTTCTCACAATGGTGTTTATTTTTTTTCATATTTTTTATCATAGGTTACATGGACTGCAGAGGTGTGTCACTCTCTGAAACAAGGGAACTCAGACCAGAACTCCAACCACCCCGTGGTGAGTTGTTGTTGTTCGTTAGTGACTGGCATGAAGGTTACTATAGAAAAAGTAAGAATGGTGCTGGAGCAGTGGTTTTGCCAGTTTTACAAGATGTCCTGCCCAATGAAGAACACTCACTGTCTTCTTCTTCTCTCAACTATGATAGGGATATGAATTTTTTGTTTAAATATTGCTTCCAGGATAGGAAGAAATAGGCTAAATCTATTGTATTTTTTTCAAGAAAATTTGGTTTGCTTTTACTTCAAAATTATACAAGTTAACACATGTGAAAAGATTGGACTGACCATTAGTCTGCAGTAAACAAATGTCATGGCACAAGAAACACAGTCCTCCCTAAACATAACTATTGAGGGCCATAATCTGTCAGTTTGTTGAACATTTCACATACATTGGGCCCAATGTCTCCAGCTCTTTGAACATTTCACATACATTGGGCCCAATATCTCCAGCTCTTTTCCCATTGATGGAGAGGTTTATATCAGGATCACAAAAGCAGAAGCAACTATGGCTTAATTGAATAAGTGGGTGCGGAATCATCATAAACTCACTGAAAGCCCCAAACAAAGTGTCTATCAGGCATAGGTGCTCAGTACACTCCTATAATATGGCATTGAAGTCTGGACCACATATGCTAATCCTGAACAGAAACTCAACAGCTTCCACCAAAGATGTCTGCATCACATTTTGAGAATTTTATGGCAGAGTTGGCAGAAAGGGCTAGACTTATGGAATAGCAGTGGCTGTGATCTAAGATGTTTGCTAAAGTTCCTCCCTAAGCACTGTTCCAACTCGCAAATAGCAGTCTATGAAGTAGTCAGACAGGCAGAAGATGCACAAAATAAAGCCCTTGTAAAAAAAAAAAGCATTATGGAAGGTCAAATTTAACTAGAAGTCAAGGTTATCCTGCGAGAAATGCAGCCAAGACTGCCACTCCAGGATCAGCTTTATAAGCCATTTGATGAAGTGTCAATAAGCTTCTCCATCATCTGGAAAAGACAGTGTGACAGTAATATTGACTATTTAACCAACCAGTATCGTTATCATATGACTGAACTAAGTGACCCACAATGACTTGTTTGTCCTGTACTGTTGTCATGTTGTCTGACTGGACTTGGTGAGTTGTTTTTATGGATGTCTATGCTAAATTTTGTGACTATTGGTTGTATATCTGGGTTTACCAGTCATATGATGTGGAGTATAAAAAGAAAGTAGGATACAGAATAAAGTTAATTGTTACACAGACCACAGCCTTGAGTGCTCCTATATTATTATGCTATTACAGACAGAAGGATTCCATAACTTTATATAACTTGTATATATATAAGTTAAATAATAAAATTCTTAATTTAAGTTTCTTTCTTATATTCATTTTATTCAATTCTAGGTCATAGGAGACCATTTGAATGGATAGCATATTTAAAGGATATTAATGCTGAACCAGTGCCTTTTGAACTCTTCAATGAGGTTGGTTATTTTGAAATTTTACCCTCTTTTGTGTCTCTTCTTTTCCTAAGGGAAGTCTGAAGCTACTCTACAAAACAAAAATCTCTTTCATATCAATTTTATCCTGATAGTCCAGATTTTATTAATCATTAGCAGTAGGGCTAACTTTTAAAAAGGGAATCCTGGTAAGATCATCATAAGACCACCAAACTTTTAATGAAAAGCTATGAATATTAAAAACTATAAGTAAGAGAACATAGGAATATATAAGATAATTGGACTGTGGTGAAGCTTAAGTAGATTAAAAACACACAAACTACCGTATATGTATATACCAGAAGGATGAAACTTTACTAAAATAAGACATAATTCAATATAACATATCAGCTTCATTTATCATAGTATTTAAAGAATACTTTAGATATTTAAGCAAAAATGAACTTTGAAACACAAGGAATTCAACTAAGATAATTTGATGCAACTGATTTTTTTGGGGGATTATTACTGATCTATAAGTAATTGGTAAGCAAACTTAGTCTGTTGTGAAAAATTGGTACATAGGTATGATACATAACAAGAAATGGCATTATGTGCTGTGAGCCATAATATATTTCAAAATGGATTTTGGAAATAAAAAGATAAAAAAAATGAAAATTTAATATTTTTGTTTGCATAGTCAGATAAGTTTGTTTTTAATAACTGATATTTTGTTGAAATAAAAATACTTTAAAAAATATCACTTCTCTTAAAAAACGAACAGTTCCATTGTATTTATGTAATTCTACTATTTATAAATACTTGAGTGAAGATTTGCAATAGACTTGTGTGTTTCCGTATTCATTTTGATGTTAATGATTTTTTTTAAAAAAAACATTATCTCAATATTTCTCTTAAGAAACAAACTGATGGCACACCACCAGATCTGATCCATAAGGCACAATTTGAACTTGGGTTTAACAGCTTCAAGGGAGGTAACTCTGCTCCCCCGTCTTGTAGCAACAACAAATTAACTGCTCATGGTAAGCTTCAACACAAGGATTGTGTACAATGTTAAGCTATTACACATGTTACCCTGTTACAGACTGTTAGTTCTATATTGAGCAAACAGCTAAGCTCAGGTAAAGTAGCAGTTAAATGTTGCAATACAATAAATAAATATCTGATTATGTTCTGTATAGAATATTGTTTTAAAATTCCAGGCCTAGAATTTGGAGCAAAACAGTATCTAAGTAAATTAGAGGAAAATTTGCAATTACCTGAAAGCAATGTGATACTGGAAAAACATAAACAATTGTTCTGTTTACTCCCATCACCTCTGTCAGTGGAAGCATTAAGGTAGATTAAGTTCTGAGTAAACTGGTTTAGTATAGTTTATTCATATTTTTCCTATTCTGAAATCTTTTTAAAATTAAGTGTATAGAATTACACGCAAATTAAATATGAACCATAAATTAATTTTGTAAGAGCTATAGTGCCTATAGTCATGTATAGAATCTAGTATTATAACATTATTTAATTGCTTAGAGACAAAAAATTAAAACAGAAATGTTTACAGAAATACAAGTTTAAAGGATGGTTTATCAAATTTAAGAAAAATATTTGATTTTTAGTAATAAACTAAATTATGGCATTTCAAAGGACTTGAAAGTAACATTTTAAAATTTCTTACAGATTTCCATTGATGTCATCTGTTTATTCAAACCAAAACCAGAATCTTCATTTCTTGTGTCCAGGACAGAGTCAGTAATTTGTTGTTATATTTATTATAAAATGCTTTTGGCTACACTATATTATATTTTTAAGTATTATTAACAGTTTTTACCTGATCCATTTTCTGTGTCACCTACCATCCATCTTAAGTATTTTCTGTATCATTTAAACTATTTGTTTATCTCTGCCTGTTGTCAAAATTTTAAAAGAAAAACCTTAAAAAAAATTTAATATGCTAATCAAGATGAACATATTTCCAGTGGCAGACTTCCACTTGATGAACCATCCTGGCGTTCCAATTAATAAGGATGAGCTTGGAGATTTGAAACTTTGGACAGAGCCTCTAAAGCTTGCCAATGCTCTACTCTTGCTACAAAAGGTTGTTAATGGCAAATCATTCTACAGATTTGTCATTAAGTGTAGCTGAAAAAAATATACATACTGCACATGGGCGCCCGCAGGTAGGGGCAAGGGGGGGCACTCCCCCTCCCCCCCGGATTGATTGGATAAAAAAATTTTAGACAAAAATTGACAAAAAATTTATTAAAGTAAAGAGAAAATAAAGAGAAAATAACTAAGCTGATGTCCTGTCCGTTCGTTCACCATACAAATGCGCTACAGTAAATTAAAACTAAATTAAAACATTACTAAAAAATTTTTGCCCCCTTGATTTTTTTTGCGGGTGCCCATGATACTGCATGCCATTAATGAGATGTGTTTCTATTTTAAATATCATTCAGTTTCTGACAGTTGGAATAGAATACAAATTTAATAGTCATTTGGTAAAAGGTCTGCTCAGATGCCATGAAACTTAAACTATGATCTATCATTTTCAGTGATAATTTTTTAAAAAGTAACATGGTTTGGGTGAAATGCATTCAGCTCCATCCTGCTCCGGGTTTAATCAAATTATACAAATAGTCTTAGCTGTACTTGTATTAAGAATTGATTATTCATAATTTTTTAATTTAACGTAACATTTTATAATAAATTTCTCAATTTTCTTTAGCATACACTTCCAAATAAGCTATCTTCTCTTTGTGCTGGAGCAGAAAACTTTCAATCAAACAAGGTAGGAAAATTTAAATTCATCTAGAAAATATACCCCATTCCTCCAAAGGGCCTTATTGTTAATTTTTGTTTTGTTCCTATTTTAAGGAAGTGAATCCATATATGTTCATTATTTAAAATAACAATTCTGTCATAACAACCACTTATATTATACTAAATAGTCTAATCAGGCATTAGGCAAGGACTAACATTTTTTTTCCTCCAAGAAATTTTAAAAAATCTCTTAATTAAAGTTTTGTTTCAACCAGATGCATCAGTTGGAAATGGCCTTCAAACGGTTGCATAGGTTGTACCTCATGCATTTGCTTTTCTACAATAGATCAGAGGTAGGTTTGTTGGAATCATGTTTATGGCAGTTATTAAGCTAGATACTTCAAAATTATATTTAGCAATTGGATAAATACATCTACAGGCATAATAGGATAAATACATTATAGGCTTACTAGGATAAATACCTAATATAGGTCAAATAGGATAAATACATATATATAGACCCCACAGGATAAATACTAAAATATAGGCCCCGTAGGATAAATACATATTAATAGCCTTAATTGGGAAACACATCTAAGTCAACTAATATGTTGAAAATGTCTTGGGACATCCTACAGGAATTGTCAGTGGAACAAATAGACACTGTTGAGAAACTCTTGGAAAATTCACAAAAGTCAGACCTTGCTGGATTCGCGAAATTGTTCAGTTACATTCCTGGTCAGTCTGGACTGTTTTGCAGTGCTCACAAACTGGCAAACTCTCCAGCTTCAGGAATTCATGAGTTCTCTGTGGAAAAGTTTCATGTAAGATTTACTGTTGATATTTTAAAGTATCCATCTTTTCGTGCCTTGACCTTCAAACTTTTTTTATGGTAACATTATTCATGAGTCTGTTATTTGTTTTTCTTGTCAACCTATTTCCTAAATGTAGAAAATTTTATTTTTAGTATGTACAGTGAAGCTGTGATTTTTTAAGCAGTTTAATTTAATTTTTTTTGTTTGAATATTAACTTGGTAAATTCACCAAACATAATAATATAAAATTTAATATAGGCTAGTAGAATCTAATATTTTAAAATGAAAAATCATTTTACAAAATTAAATGCAAGAACTTTTCCACCTTGATTTAAAAATACCCATGGGGCTGATGTGTCACTGGAATTTATTAATAGTATAGGCTGATATTAATCACTAAACATTATGACTAATGGTATGAATACTACAGACATTTTTTGTTGTTTTGATTTTCAGGGTTTGAGTTCAAATATATCAGTAATACATCTTGAAAAGAACCCGCTGTCTGAACTGCCTGATGAGTTTTTCTCACATTTTCACAACTTGACGCAACTTTGGCTGGATGGGTGCAACATTGTTGGTAAATATTGACATGTTTAAGAGTAGCCTCCATTTCTTCATGATGCTAATGTAACGAAAGGAAGCTACAAAAAAAAAAAAAAATCTGTTTCAATTTATTATCTAATACTTTTAACATAAATGTTAAGAATTTTGACAAATTCAAAATTTTTCTAACAATATTTAAAATATTTGTAAAGTAATTTTTATCTTGGGACCTTAAGAATAAATTTTAGACAAATTAAATTAGTCTATAGCCTTCACCAATCCATAACATATCCACTATAATCTGTTGGTGTGGAACATATTCAATCAATACAGGTCAATGCTAAGTGAATACAGTGGAATTTCAAAACTCTTCACTGACTAGGTGTGTTAAGAAGCATTGCAATTGTTTTATTGGGGAAAGTTTGTAAAATGGGTGTCTAAATATTTCTAAGTTATTATCTAAAATGTTAAAACACAATTGATTAGTGACTGGTGATTGTTTTTCTCCCATATGGTGCCTGTTCGTTACGATAGATCTTCTCATTTCATTAGCAACTCTAAGATGAAGCTAGCTCATGGATAACAGGGTGTATTCCCTTGACTTAAGTTTATAAATATATAAAGACTTTGAAACCTTTTGAACCTTGTGAACCCTGTGTCCATGCAACATTTGACCATGATCCACTGTATCATGATTGTTACTTCCAATGTCACTGTTCAATGTCCACTTACTCTGTGAATGCTCATAACATAGAAGTAGAGTCTAAAATAACCCCTACCAGTGTTTGACTCCTGACAAATCTCAGTTGCTATCAATTAGCACACTATAAAGCTGGAAATACGTTTTTTTAAAAAAAAATAATTCAAATTCATTATATAATTTCTAGAACTCCCTCCAATGCAAAACAACACATGTCTGGAGGAGCTCCATATTAAAGGAAATAGATTACAAACTCTCCTGGAAGATATGAAACAACTAACATCACTTAAGGTAATAAATGCCTAAACATTTATGCTTAACAGCTGTAGCAAACTCAAAAAAACTGATTTGCTAATATGCATAAATTGTCAACATGACTTTTAAACAGAGGACCAGTCATTGTTACTGAGGTTTTAAACAATTTTCTTTACCCTCAGGTGTTGGATATATCTGACAACCCATTAGAACTTCTGCCTCAAGTTGTTTCTACATTTGAGTCGTTGGTTGAACTGTATGCAGACAACATTGGAACTGTTGATTTGATGATTGTCTGCCCTTTGAAATGCCTGAGGAAACTGTCTGTGGCCTACAACTACATTGAATCAATCCCTGACACGATGTCAGAACTCCCACTGACCTACCTCGACATGTCAGGTCTACCTTTTATACCAAAAGGAACGTCGTTTTCTCTGCAGACATTGAATTTATTTTTGGACAAATACATAGTCTATAAAAGAATCACAGCCAAGGTGAATCCAATGTTTACATTAAATAGTTATCAAGAAATAAATATCTTTTTTTTTTCTTTAAAATTCAGTAGACTTATAATATATTTCAAGAATTAGGTTTAACACTACAATCTTCAATAAAATATTTTAAAAAGTAGGTTGAACACTATAATATTCCATTTTTTAAAAAAAATATTGATTACACAGTACAATCTTCATTTTATCTTGAATAGCCAAAGAATTAATGAAGTTGAGATCAATATTAATAACAAGACGTAATATAAATACAACCTTTCCTTCATAACATTTGATAACTTTATTAAGTAAATATATTGTAAATGTCCAATTTTTAAAAAAAGAGCTCATATGTAAACATTTTAAAAAAATTGGCCATTGAATGTGTCAAGGCTATGAGAAGTCGGTTAACAAAAAAATTTGGACCTTGATAGTTGGTGCAGTTAGTCAACATTCTGAATTTTTTTATGACCTTTATAATTTTAAGTAGCCATTTCAGAAAGTGAAAGTTTTCTTGTAACCTCTCTGACAGGAACGTGTTGAGATGGTGGAGAATGTAGAGGCTAATAGTGAAAAGAAAAGCAATGTTGCCAAGCTGACTGAGTTGAACAAGATCCTATTCCAGAATTATCCTCGTCTGGGCAACATGAGCAAACACAATGGTTTCATATTAATTTTATAACTTTTTTTTTTTTTTTTTTACAAACCATGAATTGTAGAGACTTACTTTGGAGTGGAACATATTTTATTTTACAATCCATTTTTTTTATAACTTTTTGTTTCAATGTTGCCAAGCTGACTGAGTTGAACAAGATCCTATTCCAGAATTATCCTCGTCTGGGCAACATGAGCAAACACAATGGTTTCATATTAATTTTATAACTTTTTTTTTTTTTTTTTACAAACCATGAATTGTAGAGACTTACTTTGGAGTGGAACATATTTTATTTTACAATCCATTTCTTTTAGAACTCTTTGTTGACACATCAGTTAGTCAAGTAAAATAAAAACACTATTTTATTTTAATCTCTTTTTTTTTTTAAACTTGTAATTAATTTTTTTTTAAAAATTGTTATTTGTTAATCTTATCAAATTGGAAACGGATGCAATATGTGTGTTGTAAATGAAGTATCTAATGAAAAGTAAAAAAAATAATGTTTGTAATAATGTTGGAAATTTTTTAAAAGTTTATTGGCCAGATTATGTTCTTTACAACTAACAATATGCAAGTGCATACTAGAAAATGTTATAGCTTATTATAATATAGGCCTATTGCTATAAAAAAAAAAGGGTTTATTTTTTCAGAATTGTTAACCATTCCTGAAGCCATAATAAGAATCACCTCCCTTGAGACACTGATTTTACCCTACCATGCCCTCGTGTCAGTGCCAGACAGCATCAGTAATCTGACAGCACTGGAAGTTCTCATTGTCGAGTACAACCCTCTACTGGAGTCCGTCAGTCCTGAACTTGCAAAGCTCCCTCTTAAAAGTGTGTTTAAAAAGATTATGTTGTCCAATTTTTTTTTTATCTTATACATTTTTGTTAAAATTTCAGTTTACTGACGCAGCCATCTTTGGGTATTTCACGTAAATATTTTAGTTCAATTTTTTTACAAAATTTACCGTATTTTCCTGCGTATAAGACGACTGGGCGTATAAGACGACCCCTACTTTTCCTTTTAAAATCTAGGGTTTGGCTGAACACCAGCTCATAAGACGACCCCCGGCATATAAGACGACCCCCGACTTTTGAAAAGATTTTCATGGGTTAAAAAGTCATCTTATACGCCGGAAAATACGGTATGCATTAAGCTAAAGTTCTGTAAAAAAAGTTTTTTAATCATAAACATGAAGACCTTCATTTTATTGACCTTTTTGATAGTAATCTCGTATCAGAAGAATACAATTTCTTATATGTTTCCTAAAAATCAAAATTGTTTAGGTGTCAACCAAATTTCTAGCCTTTCTATAAAAATATCTCCATCATTGTTTTTCTTTAGTCACTCAGAACCTCACTGGTCTTGTGTTGTTGAAAAATTTTTTAAAGGCTGTATGCCCTTCCCATCATAAAGGCTGTATGCCCTTCCCATCATAAAGGCTGTATGCCCTTCCCATCTTAAAGGCTGTATGCCCTTCCCATCTTAAAGGCTGTATGCCCTTCCCATCTTAAAGGCTGTATGCCCTTCCCATCTTAAAGGCTGTATGCCCTTCCCATCTTAAAGGCTGTATGCCCTTCCCATCATAAAGGCTGTATGCCCTTCCCATCTTAAAGGCTGTATGCCCTTCCCATATACAAGCAAAGCTCCTGTTACTTTATTCCATTACATAAAATTTTCATGACATATCTTTTTGTTTTTAATTTTACCTGTCTTAATACCAGAACTACATCTCCGAGAATGTGTCAGTCTTAAGACTCCCCCAAAAGAAGTGGTCAGAAGAGGGTTCTTGGCTGTTTTTGGATACCTGAAACGACTTCTACAGGGCTTTGTCTCCTGCAAGAGGACCAAACTCATGATGGTTGGTCTTGGTGGGGCAGGAAAGACCAGGTATAAGTCCTTTCTTGTTATGTTTCACTAATTTTATACAAGATAGTCCATATTATCAATTTACAGGCAGCCCTGATTCACATTCAAATTGTTCTTCATTCTAACAGTTTGTAAATGATGTTAAATTATTTAATATTTTTTTTTTTTCAAATGCATCTATTTTGGGGGTTGGAAAAAGTTAATTAAAACAAACAATAATTGTGTAATCCAATTGTGATTATTTTATTTTGAAGGTTGCCTAAAATAACATATCCCAAATGTAAATAAGGAGCTGGTCATGATGGGCCAAGGAATGTGTGGTTTGGTTCAAGTGTTTTTAGTGTTGCCACACCTAGTTTTATAATGAATGACAATGTTTTGTGTTGGCAAATTATCACATACAGATGGCTAAAATTTGTAGTGATAAACTAAAGAAAAAAATCATTTGTTTTTTTCAAACAATAGAATTGAGACCATTTAAGAAATATTGTATGATCAAATTTTAGTAAGGACTGAAAGAAATTATTTAAATCTGAAAATAGATAAATAAAAATCTGACTTTTCTTGAATTGAAATCTTTTTCAATGTTGTCCACACACTTAATTTAATTCTATAAGAGGGATTAAAATATTTTTGCGCAAAAATTTTGTCCTTGTCATTCCATTTAATTTGAATTTTTAAATTTGTATTGATCGACTTTTTGAAAAAAAAATTATTTCAGTCTTGTAAGAGCCCTGACAAATAAACAGCACCATTTTTATGAAGACTATGCAGAGAAAATAACAGATGGCATCGACATCACCGAGTGGTTAGTGGATGTCCAAAACATGCAGATTAACAATGAGAACATTAGCAGCAGCAATGAACCTCTGCATTTCAGTGTCTGGGACTTTGCTGGCCAGACTGTCTATTACAATACACATCAGGCAAGTCATTTTAAATGCTGGCCATACTGTCTACTGCAATGCACAGCAGACTAGAGGTTTTTTTTTGTAATCTATCAAAGTAGTAATTAAAATAATTTACAAATCAATGAAAGCTCTCCCCTTAACAGATTTCCACAAAAGCATGTTTAGAAATTCTTTGTCTCTCTAGCAAATGTTATTTTAAAAATATTACTCTGACAGTTTTTCCTTTCCAATCGTGCCGTCTACCTTTTGCTCTGGAACATAAGACTTGGGTTTGAACATGCCGGTCTGGACTTTTGGTTGAGTTCAATAGCCTGCCATGCTCCTAAAGCACCAATATTGGTAGTTGGGACTCACTGTGATAAGGTTAGCAGTTTTTGTGTAACCATTACAAAATAGCCAGTTGGAAGTGTACCACTGTTATGTCTATTTCATATTGGAAGACCCTAGTGCTAAAATTACTTAAGTCACATTTTTGTCAAAAGCAGTCTAAATTGTGACCTTCTCTTATCCAATTTAGCCAAATGTACTGCATAAATTTTAACACTTTAAAATGTACCAAATGTACAAGCCAAAAAATGAGAATGATTTCATTTTTAAGACAAAAAGAATATTTACGCTGGATTTTCCCAAAATTGGTATTTGAGACTTAAGTCCTTTTAGCTCCAATTTTGCTCATTTGTTGCAAAGATAAACTAATAATTCAAATTATACATTTATATCAAAGTTCTTGAACTTATTCCAGCTTGATATAGTGCGAAAATAAAAATAATAAATTTTTTTTTTTTTTTAAATGAATTTATTATCTTTGTTTGTGTAGGTTCAAAAGGGAAAGCTTCCAATGGATGAGCTGAAGAGAAGATTTCCTCAAATTTCTGGCTTTCACTTTGTGAGCTCCTTTTCAGGGGAGGTAAGAAATCAAGGTGTTATATTTTTAAATATTTTTTTTAAAAGGCACTAAAAAAAAAAAACAACCCAGTCTTGTACAGAAAACTTATTTTATTCACCTACACATTTGAACAATATGCAAGGTTGTACATTATGTAAATTTGTATGAACAGGGAATACAAGATCTCAAGACTAATCTAATCATATCAGCCCTGGCACAGCCCTACATGGGAGAGAAAATTCCAGAAGCATTTTTGAGCTTGGAGAAACAGCTTGACAAGTAAGTTTCAACATAGGACTCTGTTAGATTTAAAAATTGTAAATAAATATTTACGTTTAAAAAAACTATCATAATTGGAGCAAGAAAGGATAAGTCCACCAAAAGCTTATTATAAATAACATCACCATCTTTTTAGAGTCTATGGTGAAAAAATAAACAGAAAATCATACAGTAAAATTTCAAAAATCATAGATCATTTGATACTTGACTTGGGAAAAGAGTGGTTACATTTATTCAAGAATTTTTATATCCCATTTAATATTATTCATTGAATGAATGTATCTAACATGCTTCCAAATTTCATTGTTTGATTTCCCTGGAAGTGGAAGTTTTGTATTGACTTATTAATATAGATAAAAATAGAATCACCTTGCTCAACAAATTTATTAGCACTCACTTCATGCAAGCTAATTTCTAAAGCCAAAAAGCTAACATTATACGTGATCAGACAAAAATTGTGACAACTTTTTTCCCAGCTTGCGCATGGAAAAATCTCTTCTAAAATTTCAAGAGGTTGAAGATGTTGCAAACACAGCTGGGATCTTTGACAACACTGAGGTTAGCATTGTGGAGTGAATAATACTGAGTTCGTCTTGATGATATTTCGTGTCTTAGTGAGATATGTTTAGTATCTGTCATGGTTTTGTTTGCAAGTAAAATGTAATAAATTTAAATTAATCAACTTAATTTTTAAACATTTTTGTTTTTTGTTGTTGTTGAGAAGGCTTGACTGTTTTCTGTCGGTATATTTTCTCTCGGATATTAAAAAAAAAAAGAAGAAAAAAAGGAAATTAAATTTTTAACTGGTTTAATAATATTCGTAGAGATTCTACCACAAAGCAAATAATTTCATAATCTTTTGTGATTTTAAGATAGGAAGCAATGTTCAAATTTCAATTTTAAAATGTATTATCTCGAGTGCACAAACTTTCAGCTAATTCAAGCAGTGCAGTTTCTTCATGATCTTGGATCCGTCCAGTTTTTTAACACACCATTTTTGAAATCTCATGTTGTGGTAGTCCCTCAGTGGATTGTTGATGTTATGGCCTGTATCGTCACAGTACATGAAGGACCTATCAAGGTAAGTTTAAGTTTAGGAGTTGCTGCAAACAAGTCAACAACAAAGTGATGCATTGTCATTTTTACCCTTTAAAAATGAGTACAAATCGCTACAATCAATGTTAATTCAAAAAAACATTTTGGTCATTCAAAATTTTAAACTTTGCAGAATTATCTTCAGCTGTGAAGTATGTTTATATCTCCATTATAACAATGCAAATGTGTAAAGGAAAAATACTTTTCATAATGGTTGGAATGTTCAATTTTAGACACTTTCATTTGACTTAATATTTTTTTCTGTTCATTGTAATTTTAATTATTGTTACTGAGAACAAATCGTTAATTATAATTTCTGTTTTTGTTTTTATGAGAGCGCCTAGAATAGGGCTTCATGAATTTTTCTATTTACCCAATAAAATTGCTTCAGATGCGCAAAAGATATTGATAATTTCAATTTAAGATTATTTACCTTCCTTTTGAAAAAACTTGCCAGGAAGGAAAACTTTACTACAGTGATATGTGCAACATCTGGGAAAAGTATCCAGTGGAGCTGCATCTATGGCTGCTCAGATTAACAGAAGAATTCGACCTAACTTTCCCACTATCTGATGAAGAAGCCAATATTGTCCCCTGTCTTTTGCCCAACACAGAACCTAAAGTAGGTTGACTTGTCTGAGCTGTGAGAAAGTCACATTCACCCACAGAGATGTTTGTTTCAATTGATTTAAGTTAAGGTCACAGAAATCTGTAAACACTATTATTTAAGAGTAAAATATTTCAGCTATTAAAGAAATACAAGATCAACACACATCAGAATAGTACTTGGAAAATTTTGTAAAAATAATATTTTTACATAGTAAATGGTACCAATGTATTTTTAGTAAATCATACCATTATATTTTAAGTAAATCGTTATGTTAGTAAATCATATTGTATTTTCAGGTATCATAAATTGAATGATCTTGGCTGATGTTTTTACTTGATATAAATTTATATTTCAGTTTGATTTTGCTCCAGTAGATAAAGACAACAGCGAAAGGGAGACAAAAATTATTTACAAGTTTGAATATCTGCCAGCTGGATTGTTCAACAGAGCTCAGGTAAAACTTCAAATAAAAAAATATAAAAAAAACTTTAAAAAAAATGATTTTCTATTAAAGACCATTTTAAACGTACTAAAATATAGAAAATAATTTAAAATTTATTAAGATGCATTGCGCAAAGAAAGACTATGCAGAATTGTAAATGGTAATCTAGATTCGAACTGAATGCAGACAAAACTTGAATATGTAATATGTTGCATTTATTTTTCTCTTTTTATTTATTATTGAAAATATTTTCTACACAGACTTTCTTTGCATAATGCATTAAAAATTTTAAAAAATATTTTCTACTTTTTAGCGCGTTTGAATTCTTTGATAGAAAGTCTATTTTTAAAAGTTTAAACAAATATTTTAGATTTGCTAATTTTTATATAAAAATAATCCCCGAAATCTCTCATATGAGCGCCCCTACCCATCCTACTACTGCCCCTCCTCACACTTCTACAACAGTTCACTGATGCAAGTTTGACACAACTCAGATGTGGCTAGACGATCAACTGAGCAAAAATGTCACTGTCTAAACAAAAAATTATGATGGATAAACAAGATGAAAATTATAATAGAAAGAAAGTCTTTAAAAAGAGCCCAAAATTTTGTCAAACAGGTTACGCTGAAGTTTTATATAAGATAAAAACAAATAAACATAGTTTTGTTTAAAGGCCTTTACTTATACTTCAATTCTTCTATGCCAGATTTTAACAATAAATGGAACACATTTATACAATTCATAGGCAGCACATATAGTTTAGGATATTAATGTGTTTTATTATTCTACTAAAAATTTTTAAAAATTAATTTACAGGTGCGTTTGCATCAATTCAGTGATAGCTCAGTTATGTGGAAGAAAGGTTTCATGCTGAAGAAAAACAATCACAGAGCTTTGCTGCTTCAAACAAGGTAGACAGTTTGTTTATTTGGCCTGCCTTTTAAATGTGTTCACTGTAAAATTTGTTCCTTGCTCATGACATAATTTCAACTTTTTAATTCTTTTGATAAGAGCTGTATGAAATTCACAAAAGGCAAATGGATTTTCTAAAATTAATTTTTGTTACATTTTCAACTAGAAAAGGGCAAGAGCTGCTACTGTCAGCAGCTTGTCAATTTTATTTCAATAAATTGGCTAATTAAACCAAACTTTTATTATGCTGCTTAAAGTGTATTACCAAGCATGAAATTTCATGGCAATTGCATTTTCATTAAAAAATTTCAGTAACACAGAAGTTGTGGTAACTGCAAGAGGCTACAAGCCTGAAAACACAATCTTTTTAGTACACGAGGTGTTTGAATGTCTCATAGCAGACTCTTACAGCGGCGTGGCTTATGACTTCTCCATACCTTGTGCCGACTGTGTGGCAGAGGTAAGTCAATAAATTGAGTGCAGACAGAATGTGAAGAAGAAGCTTTGAAAATATCTTACACCAAATGACAATTTTATTTTTTGAACTCCCTCCCCCCATTGTCACAATTTTTTTGTGAAAAGTTATACCCCTCTTAGAAATCCTTTGCACCCCTCCAAAATCCCTCTGTCCTTTGCAAACCCTTTAAAAAAAGTCACCTTCCATGGATATGGAATCAGTGCATCTGTGTCAGAAAAATTTTCCTAGAACTGTGGTTCTTATTCAGGGGTGAAGACCCAGAAAATTGTATTAGCTGCCATCGCTAGTTGTTGCTACTTTATAAAAAAGATTTTATAAATTTGATTAGCAGCAGTAAATGTTTTGCTGTTGAATTTTGTTTGCGAATTACTTGTAATGGTCATTTTTTTTTCTTCTCTCCAGAAAGTTAATTAAAGAAATATAACTACAATAACTAAATCATTTAATTATATCCATTTGAGATTTTTTAATGGCAATATAATTTATGCAAGGGGAGTGTTGTTTGCAGTAAATGTTTTCTAATTGAGGTTATTTGCAGCACTACAAAACTATTAAGTTTCAGTGCCCTAGAACATTCACTAAGATCACGCTCACTAATCATTGTTTGTTCCATCCTACTTCACACAGTAGATCTAATTCTTTGACTCCTCTCTCCACACTTTGACATAAATTCTCACGACTGTCAATATCACTACACTCCAATTCTCCTCCTCATGGTGGCCTTTGACTTGATCAACAGTTTTAATTATTTTATTGTTAAACCGTTGTTTAAAAGTAAAATAATTAAAAACTGTTGTATAAAAGAATAATTTTACAAATGTCTGTAATTTAATGTTATTAAGTGCAATTTTTTCAGTAATGTTCCGCTTTCATTGGGCTCTTAAAACCCCTCCTCCCTTCGTCACAAAAATATGACCCCCCACTCCCCACATGACTCTTGACACCATTTATTGATGTCCCCAAAGTCAATGATACATTTTTGGATGACCTATCGAGATTTGAAAAGTCTATTTTTTTAATGCAGTTTACCATTGATCCCTGCATGTTTTCTGCGGCCAAAATAAAAAGAGCGTTTGAGCTGAAGGCACCATTCTTACAGTGTGACAAGAACTTCCACATCATTTCAATCCCTGAAATACTTGGTAAGTACATACTATAGAAAACAGTACAACTGAAAAAGCAAATACAAAACTGTAGTCATTTTTTCCATGAAAAATCTATCCTTTAACTCTAAGTTTTGAAAGAACATCCACAGGAAAATAAACCTAGTTTTTTTCCAGCTCTTCAATTTGAGCAGTGGCAAAAAGTGGGCAGAATAGCAGATAATTTAATTTTTTGATTCAACAAAGTCAAAATGTAAATCAAATTTACATCACACTACACAAAATTCAACAATGGATTGTCATATCCTCATGACAGATAACATTTCATAGTGTATTACATGTGGGCAAAGAAACACTTTGCAACTAAAGAAATCACTACTCAGTGTTTGGAAATTTCTAGTGTGTAAAAAGCCAGGATTATAAAATTCTGAGCCCTTCATATCACCTTAGGATAACACCCAAAGTGGACTTATTGGAAATAAAATGCTACTAAACCATCAAATTATTCAGAGTATGTGACACAGTCGACATGGAGGACAGATTAGGAACATATTGCAGCTGTAGTGCGAATTTTTACATTTTCAAATTAGTTTTTAATAGCTATTATTGTCTGTGCTGATGTCAGCAACAAATTATCATTTTTATAGTCACTATTTTGTATCAAGCACATTTTTTTGCAAAGTACAATCCATTTCCAATCCATTGATATCCACACACTTGGGGTCTATCTCTTATATGAATCGCAGCCTTTATATTTAAGTCTAACAGTGGTCTTGTTGTGTGTGTGTGTGTGTGCCTGAGAGTGCTTGGTATAACCAAATACCACTGGGAGTCAAAAGTTAAAAGATTTTATCCCACTGGAGTCAAAGAGTTAAAAGATTTTATGCCACTGGGAGTCAAAGAGTTAAAAGATTTTATGCCACTGGGAGTCAAAGAGTTAAAAGATTTTATGCCACTGGGAGTCAAAGAGTTAAAAGATTTTATGATACAAAAAAAAAAATTAAGTTAAAATTGAATTCTACAACTTACATTGCCTACAAAGAAATATCCATGATACAAACTTTAAAATAACAACCTCCTCTGCTTTCAGCATCCTTGCCACCAGATGCTAATGCAGACTTTGATGAACATCTGGGCAGAAGCGTACGAGAGTTACAGGAGCTGGAGGAAACAGTTGCAGTGCAGGTTTTCTATATTTACACTCAGCGAAACATTCCTGACCTGAGCAACGCCGAGAAGGTCGTCAATCCAATACACATTCTAGAAGATATAAGAACTGCAGGTCACAGTGTGTAAGTATAGATAAGATGGAAGCTCTGTTCAGAGATGAGGCAAATTTAAATAGGAGTTTTCTTTCAATAAACAACTAAGTGTGTGCAGATAGATGGTTGAAACTGGTACTAAATTTGATTGAGATTGGATTTTAAGTTTGAGCAAAGAATAATTTTTTCTCAAGAAATGGTTTAGTTAAGTGTATGTTTTGTTATTGTATTCCAACCTTGGTGGAGTAACAAAGCGCAGGTGACAGATATGATTTTAAACTAACTAATGTTATGCTAAAGTTAACATTTTTAATGCAATTGTTGTGCTATAATATTGAAATTTAAAAAGATGTAAAGTTTTAAGTGATATGTTCTTATGAGCTCTTAAAAGAAAGACTTTGACAAAGCAGTGGTTTGTTTGATGAAGCATTTTTAATATTTTAATTCAAATGCTATGCATCTGAATTGTATCTTTTTTTTTTTTTCAGTTCTTATTGTGATGACCCTGATACTGCAAATATGGAATCCTTGACAGTGTCCATAAAATCAGCCCAGGTATCGACATAAGCCCTGTCAAATAAACAAAGAAACAAACCTGCCATCTGATGTTATATTTTACATGATTCTGTTTATATCAAATGTGCTAAAATATTGTTGTAACTTTTATGCTCAATGACATCTATAAATCTAGCTAGATATCATGGTTAGCTAGATATCATGGTTTCATTATTAGATCATATTTAGAGTTGTTTTTGTATGGTAGAGTAAACCCTTTAAAAAATACAAAAATGTAGAAAGCATTTCATTTGTAAATGTTAAGAATTTAAAAAATAAAATGATATTAAATATCCCTTGTTATTAACAAAGAGTATAATGAGTAAACAAGTGCATTTTTAGGCAGATGAAAAAAGTATTATGCACAAGTACTAATATTACAAACATTCAATGCATGTTTCTCTGCCCAGGTGATTGTGGTGGCCATATCTGATGAGTTTGTGGCCTCTCAAAAGTGTCGAGACCTGATCATCTTCATCAAGCAGACCCTGCACAAAAATTTGGTTCTAGTGGCCATCGGATCAACACTCTCATGGCAGGAGAAGGATATAAACCTGGTGTTGGCCGATGAGGTGCACGTCTGGTCGATGTTGATGATAAAACTTAATTATGTCATTGGAAGATATGCCTCATGCATTTTTAAAAATCAATAACTGTATATAAATAAGTATTGAATCAATTTGACTGTAACAATAAGTTTTTCAAGTTAGTTTTAAAAGCTTGTTGATTAGTTCTATACAATTCCTTGAACCAGTTATTCACCCTTGAGGTCTGACTTTGCTGTCAGAAAAGTTATTACTTTTTAAAATTTACCAAAATCTATAAATTCATTCTGAAGTCTGTACACTCCCACAACAGCACATTCACACTCCAGCCGAATCAGTAAGAGTTTTTGTTCTCTGTCCAGGTGTTTGTAAAACTGACTCAGATTGAAAGGTACGGCTCCAAAATACATGAACTGATTGAGGCCATTCAAACCAGGAAGCAGAAGAAAAAGGTTTTTGTTGACTTACTTATTTTCATATATGTTTTCATTATATGGTGTTAGGTATAGAACTTACAAAATACTTGGCAGTATTTACTCTCATTTGATTTAAAAGTAGTGTTTTATGATTTATGTATAGTGTGGCGGATTTTACTTTTCATTGTTTAGCTATTTTGGAATAATGTTGCCCACCTCGGTCTGGGAATGATTATTTAATAATGATACGCTTCCCAGCGTTGAGACGTCAAGTAATTTAACACTAAGCGCCATGTTCTCTTGTAATGAACAAAACTGTCTTATGGACTGTGCACAGGAAAGATGTTCATTTTTGTGCACTTATAAAAAAACTTACATTAAACTTTCATGATCAACCTAACTGTAGTGCAAAATTATAATTTTTAAAAAATAAAAGGAAAAAAACAAACTTGGATCTCCAGATCCAGGTATTTCCCATGGCCTGAAATGCATTTCTTCCAACGTACACAATCTCAGGACATCTCACCATTTATGACACATTACATGTAATTAGTAAAATAATGACTACTAACACTAAATCCACCTCAATGCCATTCCATACAAATTTAGTTTAGCAGTACATATAATATTTACTAATAATTTAAATAATTTCCTACATTTCAGATTTTGTATCCAGAATGTTTTATCAGTTACTGTTGGGCTAATTCTAAAACTGCCGTTGACCTTGGCTCAGCTACCAAAGAAGGGGCGTTAGGTTGGGGTGACCCTCGAAAGATTAAGGAGCTCTTGCAATCCAAGGGGATAAGTTGCTGGCTGGATGTGGAACAAATGGGACAGGTCAAGATTTTCTTTATTGGATCTCATATTAATCATATTTTTATTGTGGTAACTCTTCCAAAATGAGATTAACTTTAAAAAAAAATAAAATAAGGCTGTTCTTTAACTTGTAGTTTGAAAAGGGAGCTTATTTCAGACTTTCTTAATCATTAAACAGGAGGGTTTCTTTGAGGATATTGCTGAAGGTTTGCGCAAGGCCAAGGTCATGGTTGCCTGTGTTTCAGATGAGGTGAGAATGGAAACTAATTTAATTTTCATTTATTGTATATGAAACAATGAAGTAAATAATTAAATAAAGATCTTTTATGGATGGAAATAATAACAGATCTTTTATAGATATAAATAAAGATATGTTGTGGATGTAAATAAATAAATAATTTAATCAATGCTCTTTTATGGATGCAAAGAAATTAAAATAAAATAGATAACAAGAAATTTGAATTTGGAAAATTATAATTTAATTGAATAGGGATCATAATTTTTTTGAATTGAAATAATTTATTTCAGTATGCAAACTCCAAGAACTGCAGAATGGAGTTTCGTTTTGCAGTTACAACACTAAAGATACCAACGATCCTCGCTGTGGTGGGCACAGGGTACAATTGGGAAAGGAGTGAGGTCAGATTTCAAACCGTTTAATTTTCATTATAAAAATAATTCATAAAACAACAGAACGTAAGGTAAAGTTTGTACAAAAATTTTGAGTGAGAGAATCATTAAGTTAAGAATGCCATATTTCACATTTATGGATTAACCCTTTCCCTACCGCTGTTTTTTTTTTTTTTTGGGGGGGGGGGTGGGGGGGGGGGTTGTTTTTAGTTGGATTTTTGTTGGCTCGGAAATATAAATTTTTTTAAATTTTTTTTTTTTTTTTTTAAGTTGATTTTTGCTGACTCAGAAATATAAACTTTTTTAAATTTTTTTTTTTTAAAATTAAAAAAACTTTTTTTTTTAATAATAAAAAAAAAAAATAAATGAAATTTTCGGTATATTTCATTCTCTATCCAATTCGCTTTTTAACTTCTCTATAGATTAGTGAATAAGGGGACGTCGACGTGATGTCCTTGGTATTTCAGAAAAGCTCTTTGACTTTTTGTTATGACAACAATGTGATGTCCTTGGTAATTGAAAGTGGGTGATCGTGACGTCGCCATTGACGTCATCGGGAGCAAAGTGGTTAAGAAAATGAAACTGTGCTGCCTTGTCTGCTATTCTTTTGATTTTTGTGTAGTTGAGGCTGATTTTTAAATTTGCTCTTTGCAGTCGGGATATCAAAAAAATAAGTATGAAAATTATAATGCAATGTGTAAAAATCTTGTATTTAAATATTTTAAACAAAATTGTACCCAATTTAAACTCTTGGAGTCAGTGCCGACCTTTGGCTGGAGTGCCAGAATATAGGGGTTGCATTTGATATGGATTGTTGTTTTTTTAATACTTTATTGGGGGAATATAAATTTTAACTAAATTTTAACTAATTGAAGAATAGTATTCTGTTGATTGACTCCTCAGTGATATTCCTTTTTACAACCTACATGGCTGAAGGACATAACATGGCGGTTTAAATAAAATAATAGGATATCCCATATCAATTTTTTAAATTTGTGTGACTATTTGAAAACATTTGGTGCATTTAATTTAACCTCCAAAAGTCACGCTATGGCTCAGCTGGATGTTTGTACACATAAATTTTAATACATTTTGTAGAATGTTGACTTTTTTTTGCCTGACAACAACACTTTTAATTTGAAGGAATATATATATAATATTTATATAACGAAAAGGATTATGATTAGCTAAAGCATTTTGAATAACACTACCCAGTATATGCAGAGCTTCTCTGAGAGATTTAATTAATTTTTTAAAAATTATTCTTTTTCATTAAAAGAGAATAATTTTAAGTAGGCTACTAAAATCATTATTTTGAAAATAAGAAATTTTATTATGAATTATTTGTATATATTGAAGGGAAAAATGAGGGTAAATTATTATATTTTTTTGAAGTTCTTATTTTCAATGTGGCGTGAAAATGGAGTGAGGAGGGTGCATCACCAAAACCCGAGGAGAACGGCTCAGAGGCAGACCTAGGCTTTGATGGATGGATGATGTGGAAAAAGATCTACAGCAGCTGGTAATCCAAGCAAGGAAAAGAAAAGCATTAGTTAGGTCTGAGTGGGAGGAAGTAGTGAGGCAGGCCAAAGGCCTACACATGCTGTAGACCTACACAGGCTGTAGACCTACACAGGCTGTAGCACCATAGGGATGGATGTAAAAACTCTGTCATCCAGAGAACAAGCCTTGATATTAATCCTATTTTATCATTTCTTTCCACATGGTTGTCATTAAATCATGTTGTTGGGGACGGTAGCTGGGCCAGGTCTACTGCCACCGCCAAGTGGGCCAAGTTTTGCCACCACTCTTCAACAAAAAATAAAAACTCTGAAAATGCCGCCCCCACCAACAAATAAAGACAAAAGATCCTTCCAAGGCAGACCGCACATTGGACCCCCACTTTCTATGCAACTGGACTAGGGGATGATGTAAAATCCACTGCAGCTGGAAAATCATCGTTTTGATTAATTCAGCAGATTGTCCTTTCTCTGTATCAACAGCTTGTTGGGAAATTTTTTTTTACAAAATAAGTTTAAATTCCTCATCTGATATTCTGGTGACATTTATAAGGCAACTTTTAAAATTTCAGAAAGAACAAATTATTATCTCTTATTGCGACATGAAGTCTTCCTGTTCTATATATTAAGGGCCCACGATTAATTTATTGATCATTTTGGCTCCTATGCATGTAGAGGGGATTTGAAACTAGTTATTGTGACAAGTCAGTTAGTTATTGTGACAAGTGAACTAGTTATTGTGACAAGTGAGCTAGATATTGTGACAAGTCAACTAGATATTGTGACAAAAATTCAACTAGTTATTGTGAGAATCCACTAGTCATTGTGACAATTAAATTTGTTGTATATCAAAACAGTGTATATTATTGCATGCTGAAAGTTGGAGTGTTTCCCTGTTAGAGTTGCACATTTTCAATAAAAAGCCGTTTTCATTTCTAACAAATGACTTTTTAATTTTGCTATATAAAATCTAAATAATAATAATTTTTTATTGTTAATATACAGTTGGCTGAGTACTACTGCCATTTTGGGAATCTGTTCTTCAGTCTTCTCCAGCATTACCATTTTTTAAATTATTAACTGATAATATCAACCTAAAAATTTGTAGGAGGAAGGGGCTCCAACATTCTGAAACGCCTGGGGTGCCACAGTTGCTAAGGGTGGCAGTACTGCTAGGAGTATAAAACCGCTGTTTCCATCAAATTTCACAATTTTAGTCACTCATAAAGATTAAAAAACTATCTGTCCAGATTGGCTTGTTGACTGTAGGCCACAGCCATAGCTGCCCGAAGATCAACTTACAGTATGAAAACGACGCTGGTTTGCTAGATCTGTTTATGGAGGTCCATAGGCTGCTGCCCAGCCATACCCAGGATGCATCCAAAGCTGAGGGTCAAGCATCTCCACAGCAGTCCATTGCTTTTCAGGTGGGAAAAAAAAAATTGGTTAGTCTTCAAAAGTAGGATGATGCGCATTATAGTGCATTATGAAAGAATAATTGAGGTTTTAGCTTTAGATGTTTTATAGAGGTAAGATGGCTACAACTTACAAATGTTGTAGCTGAAGATAGTTTACTAAAATGGATAACTTTGTTACAAAAACACACATTACTAAAACAGAAACAAGCTGTTAATATTATTTTAAATTAAAATTTAAAAAAATAATTCTTTGAAAATTTTGTTTGCCATAATAAAGAATGCGTATTGTTTGGAGGTAATTGGTCTCAATTTTGTAGAGTTATTTGTTAATTCTATATTTACAAATAAAGATGTCTGTTTTAATTTTAATTAAAAAAAAAATAAAAATTATTAATTTATTGAACTGAAAGAGATTTTTTTTTTTCCATTTAGGAAGTTCTGGAGCTCACTCAAAGAAAATTGTTGCGTCACATCACAATGTACTCTGTCAGTATGGACCTGGAGTCATACCCGAGGTTAATCCTTATTGATTTGAAAACTAACTTAGAAAGGCCAAAAACCACTGTGCTTAGTTCAAGGGAGGCCCACCAGAGGTCAAAGGTCTCTGACGATGGGGCAGATGCTTCAGATTCTAAGTCTGGGTCATGTGGTGGGGACATTAAAGAACAAGCTGGTGCAGATGACCTGGATAAAAGTCTGCCTGACCATCCCGGATATGAAGACAAGAGTGACAAGTATTGCATTAGACTCCTGTGTGAACATGAGCAGGGCTGGCATGAGGCCCCAACATGCCTGAGTTTCCCATCAAAAGATGGCGCTGAGCTGGAGGATTACCTTAAAAGCATCGCTCCTTATGTGGCTCGTATCTTGGCTGTATTAAAATATTCCAAGATCAACATACCAATCCTGACCACCCCGCAAGGAGAAAACCTGCGCAGGAAATTGGAAGAGGTGGGATTTTCAGTCAATTATTTAAAATAATCCTCTTAAAAAATAGTTAATTTATTTTTGTGGAGTTGATAAAAAAAAGCAGCTTTAATCCATTATTGCAGATAATGTGTTGAAGAAATTTTAGATGATTAAATACTATACTTGTTTCTTTAACATGTTTTCCTGCCAAAAACTTATTTAGATAATTCAATGTTATCTTTTAATTTTTAAAAAATGTTTCTATTTTATTTTCCTTCCAATAAAAATTGTCAAGCGGGAAATAAAGGTGCTTCTCTCACACAGTGTCCCTAAAATTTAACCCAAAAATTAATGCTGTCATTTTCACACCAGTGGTGCACCAGAATGACACCTGACTTTCAGAATGAGTACAACATCATACTACAGACTGTGATGGAGGAGGATGAGAACAGGATTTATGGAGGACTGAAGAGGTAAGTGTATGAAACATTTGCTCATTACATTTCTCCAGAAAAGTCATCAGCGGCATAACAACTCATACAAATTATTGATACATATTCTCTGATTTATTATGGTGCTATTGCAAGACCATTCAACCAATGAACAAGTTCTGCACAATGCAGGAACCCATTAAACCGAAAGCATACGAGGTATTTCTCTTTATTATTTGATTTTTAAGAGAGTAATTATATTTTATAACGCTAGTGTAGTCAGCATACACTCTCTCACACCAGCTTAAAAAAAAATTTAACTCCATGTATGCTTTCAGATGTCACATGCCCAATGGTAAGATTCTCTGGCTGTGCGAGGAGCATGAAAAGTCATCCTTCACTTTGACTGAGGAGAAATACAAACCTCAGCTTGGACAGAGAGAGGGTCTGAAAGAAATCTATGAAATGGAGGAGGAGGAGCAGATGCTTGATGGTAGATGTTGTTGTTGTTATTTGTTCATTAAAGGGTTGCAGTGATTAACATATAATCTGGTTAAATTTATCTCTGGCTTTTAGATATCGCCACATAAGTTCCTGTCAATTTAAACCTAGTGCATTGATTAAGTAAAATAATAAATGCTAATGCTCAATCAATTAAGACAAATTGAGAGTTTGGGGCAATGTATAAGAAAATAAAATGAGGAACTCTACCTATAATATGTTAAATAATTGAAATTTAAAAAAAAAATGCAAAAATTTTGGTTTTTAAATAATCTCCTTATTTATATTAAACATCCTAACTCTTTACGTACCTGTCTACTGCAAAGGATTTAAAAAAAAAAATCATTAATTTCATATTATAGTTAAAGTACACACTGTTATGTTAATGTTGTTTTCTTAGATTCCCGACCAACCACTTCCCTGGATGTGGCAAGGCCTGATTCTCGGGCACATGACAGAAGCCCTCAAAAAGGTCTGTATTAGAATATATTCAGTGAATGAAGAAAGTAAACTGATTGTATTGAAAGCTACAATTAATGCCACTGTAAGGATCCATGTGATTTATTTTGTAGACATAGTTATTTTATATATTAGCTTATCTTGTTGCTCTCCTCATGCATATCGATTATTACCCAATTCTTCTTTCCAATAATATCATTGTGAACATACTCACAACTTTAGGGACACATGATGACAGACCATCAGCAGAAGTGCAGCAGATTCCCGTTAAAGTGGTCTCCCCCACCTCAGGACAAGTGCTGCCCAGACGACCCAACCTCACCAGGAGACAAACCAGCAGCAGAAAGACCACAAGCCAGGCCTGCAGGCTCATGTAGTGTAGATTTGTAAAGTAAATTTCAGATATTTAATGTAAACTTAAGTCATCTGTCCTTGTGTAATGTTTCTAAATGTATTTGATGACACAATGGGAACTGTAAGGCAACAAAATTATTTTATTCGTCTTTTCAATCACGGTAAAAAGCAATAATAACAAAATCTATCTGTTTTACATGAGGACTGATCATTTGTCATGCACAAATTGTTTAATTTTCAAAGAGAGCTTGTGCTTCACTAAAAGTTGAGAATCCTATTACTTGAATAATTTACCTTTGGTCTCTTACAAGATTATTAAATTATCTTGAGATTTGGCTTATTGAATGTTCACATTGAATGCTATAACTCTATGTCTTAGACTGCAGCGTCTTAATTGAAATTTATCAAATTGGACTAAAAAAATAATTATTGATAAAAGTTCAGTGTGCTTTTTGGATTTTGTTATTTTAATGTAATATCAATTTTTTTTTTTGCTACCAAAGTTAATTTGATAAATTTGCTTACTAAATTCAATACCTCAGTCTAAAAGGGTAATTTTACAAGCAAGCGTTTCTTATTTTAAGAAATTCTTTTCGCATTATAAATAACTATATTGCATAACAAGCATGTCATTGTTGAAAATAGTACATAAACTCTAAATACTAAGATACAGCCAACAGAAAATTATTTACAAACAAAAAATGAGTTCTTGACAAAGATTTTTGAAAAATATATTTTATGTGTTATCCAAATTCAAACCAAAATTAAATCAACTGGTCAAAATTGTGTTAAAAGAATTATGATTGGTGTGTATTTAAAACACATTTTAGTTTTAGTTTTGTAAGACTAAGCAAGCGTGATGCTATTTTATAATTTCTGCACCTAAACATGTGACTCTATTGTATATTGGATTTTTCTTTTAGAGAAATGTTGATGCTTTTATATCAATGGGTAATATGGTCACTGTTAGATCTGTAGGGTATTTAAAATTAATTGCGGCACATTTTATAAAATTATATTCATTATTTATATTTTTTTGCAATAAATGAACTTGCTCAAGTTGTGTTTGACTTTTTAAAACACATTACCATTTTCTCATCACAAGTCTTTTTGAACTATTTTTCTTTTTACATATAAAATTGTTTTTTAAAAAGAATTTATTTAATTTTGATATTAATAAAATATATTTGTGCACATATTTATTGTTTTTTAAAAAAAAGAGAATGTAAATAAAACCAGCAGGAAACAAAAATGGCTAATTAGGGTTTAGTTCTGTGTAATGCAGAGCTCAAGTTTGTTTTTAATGAATTGCTTGCATGATGTCATTGTTGATGGAAGCTTCTTTTTACTGGTCACAATAAATTTGCATTAATCACACAATTCATGTCACAATAAACACAATAGTATAGAAATACTATATTTACATTATGTCACATTATAGAATAAACATTTTTTTTAGTTTTATTCAAATATGTTTTGTGATATCGTGATAATGGATTATACTGTATTTATTAATTTTTCTTATCAAGAAAAACTAAAATACCTCAATATTTTTTTGCGTAGAGGATTTGAATGTCGAAGAATTTATTTTTCACCCTGTGATACCGCAGTATATTTTATACTTTTCTAAAAATAAGTTTTTACATTTACTTTTTAATGTTCTATATTTTAAATTTATTTCTAAATTAAAAACAAACAAACTGTAAACTAAGTGCTAGAGCTTTCGAAGCCATCTGTATCTTTTTGACAATTTTCCACTTCTGTCCCATAAGCCCTGTACCTGCTCACGATTTAAGCAATTTTTGTTACAACGATAATTTTAATTTTACTTTTTTTAATGTTATAGTTCTACTCAGGGTAATGGGAGTAAGAGCAGGTTTTATTTATTGTAACTTTGCTCTGTTTTTTTTAAAAATCCTGTGATGTGTTTTACTATTTTAAATTTTATTAAATTTTTTAAACAAATTATTAAAAGTCGACCAGCGTTACAGTTTCACTTTATTAATTGACAAATATTCTGAAATGTCTGGTTGTGGGAATAGGGTGAGATATGATTATCTTTCTGATTACAATTTCCAATAGATGGTTCATTTGAAATAAGTAATTTATGCTTTGCTTAAAAGCAAGGATTTGGACTTTGGAGCGGAGCCTGGAGCCAATGGTTCAAAGATGCTTACTAACTATTATGGTGAGTGAGAAGTTTAGTTTAGTTTAGCTTGAATAAATTATATATTTCTGCAAGTTGAAAAAAGATTCTGTTACAAACTTCAACAGTTAGAAAACTATGCCAGGTAGATGGACATAAATGCCCTACATACACACAGAAAGAAAGGAGTCTCATATTCTCTCATCCTACCCAACCATCGCCACCAGTGGTGTAGCTAGGGTTAGTGCTGTCCATATTCTCTCATCTTACCCACCCGGCGCCCCCCCCCCCCCCCCCCCCCCCCCCCCCCCC